AGTTTAGAGAAGCACACATGGAAGATCAATAAACAGCCGATTACTTGTGCCGCTGGGCCTTTTGGAGGATCCACACCTGCGCAGCAGTCGAATGATATTTGGCGTTGGGGCATCATGGTGCGGTGTAAGGCTGGGTTAGTAGGTGGTTAAGGAAATGCGGAATTGATGAAGATGAAAATTCCGTTTGATTGCCTTGTTAGTGGTTGTGATCGTGAGATACAGCGCTATTTGTGTGGTGGGCTTACAGCCGGGAGATGGGGCTTTCAACTTCGCAAATGGGATGTCCTGCCAGACTTTTAGTTCACCCCATCATTGATTGTCATTGATTATGTGAATGTCGCCAACGACAGAGGCTGGTATGCCAGTCCTGAAGAGTGAGTCTATGGAATGGGTGTAGACTTATGGCCGAAGAATAATATAAATTACCCATTTTCCGGCCCCAAAGATATACCTCGCATTTGGAGGAAGAGACTGTCACGCTGATCTACAAATTGCGTGACCGCTTTTCGCTAGACAATTACAGGCTGCCAGCATACCGTTTGAAGTATTGAGTGGATTTAGAAGATTACGTTTTTTTACTCACACCACTGCCAGACAAAGCTGATTCCAGCAAAACCTTCTGGTGAGATGAATATCCCCGCGCTTGCCGAGCTAAACGCGAACCAAAGATGAAAGACTCACCAAACGCTATATTTTCGACTCATCAAAGTTATTAGTTAATGTAACACGCGCACTACAGTTCACGAAACTTGGGCCCAGTGAGGTTAAAGGAGATGTTGTACACTGGATTATTGTTTCCATGCTGCGCCAGTCCATAAAAGGGTTCATTGGGGTTTTGTCTTAGGACCAAATTTCTTTTTACCCTATGTTAGCGGCCTTTTACACGCGGTTTTTAGTCCAGGCACGCTTTTGTCGGAAAATCTAAAATCTTACAGTCACAACGCCAGCATCCTCCAAATGGATGTTGACCATGTAAAATTGTGCTCACTGTACCGACAGATTCCTCTGATTGCCGAGATTTGCGCCCCTGTGTAATTCGAGGGAAGCTCAGTGCGCACCTTTGCCAAGCGTTGTACGAGCGAACCGTGGGCATCTGGTTATTTTCTAACACATTCTTATTCATACTAAAAATAGGCTCAAAAATCCATTTGTTGTCCTTCCGATGATCCGGCACTGTTTCTGCCGCATCATTCGAATGGACTTCCAGATACACCACGGAGCCCTCGTCGTACCGATTTTCGAGTTCGCCCACCAAGTTGCCTATTCATGATGCCAGAAGTATTTTAGTATAATTGCGCATGTCCAGCACGCTGCTAAGATGATGGTTGCCGGCTTCAAATCCATTAGTTACGAAATGCATCTTGAGGTCCCTGGACGTCTTCCCATAGACTATCGTCGCCCCCAAAGGAACCTGACACACTTCGCTTGGGCAGGTTTTGGTGGGTAGGGATATGGTAAGTTTTCAAGATAAGAATTGACAAACTCATTAGACCACATTTTTCTAACTTCTGCAGTCTTTATATAAACGGGCCGCGCTGCGTCTATGACCAAGTTGGAAGCATTTTCGATTGTTTTGTATACGCGCTTTCATTCTTGCAAACTTACCGCAAGGTCCTGACGATTGAAGTGCAGTGCCACAACTTTTTCACTCGTGCACTTCAAATAAACTGGAACCACTGAACTAAAAGAACAATATGCACCCGGATAGCTCGGGCAAAAATGTTGATCCTGTTTATCAATCATGAACCGACGGACGGCGTCGAATATCATTTCCTTGGAGTGTTTGGTAGGGAAAAAAGCAGTGAAAGAAAACAACAGTATCGATGTTGCCAGGTGTCGAAGGTCGAAATTAAAGAAGGCCTTCTGGTGCCAAGCCTTCAAGCCCCAAAGGCAGGTGAGTCAAAGAGGCATGTGATTAGTCAGAGGACGGGCTACTGTTGCACTGGCACCCAAGACCGCTATGATTGGACGAAATGTTTGGGCCAACGACTTTTCACACTCCACTGTAGTATACGGTGTCTGTCATTTTGATTGATTCATATGTAAGTACTGGTGATGTGCAACCTTGCTTACTGGGCTTTGGCTTATGAGCTTTGTTTCTGTTTTCCATCCACAGAAATTGTCGTGAACACCTGCCTTCGGAGAATCACTGTCCTCTGGTGCTTCCATAGCGTGCATATTACACCAATATAACTGGATGTCAGTTGAGGATGCCGCATCCGCTCACTGTATTTAAACTTAGTCATCTCCCAGAATCGCAACGTAAGCAAATCAGTTTGAGGAAAAGGCGAATATTATTGAGTCACTGACGTAGTGACTGAGTTTTCAGACGCCAGAAGCCAGCTGATTCATGATTCAGCTGCGTCCACAGTTAAATTTTTACTCTCATTCTGGTCACTGTGTTTATTGATTTTTCCTAAGTTCGTAAACAGATGAAAATTTGAATTATGCTTTGGAAACTCAGGAGGTGGAAGCACTCCATCCTCTCAAATCTGCTTATTCTGCCTCAACTTTGAAGAAACGGTCAAAACGAGTTTTGACGGTAGATCTACCGCCTAGCTGTTCAACAACAGTAGCGAAGGAATCCCAAGAGCTTCTAACGTGCTCCTTAGACACAAACTATCGGTCCATTTAGTCGATCAATCTATCAGCTATGAACAGTGTACCTTGTGTACAGTGGTTGCAGCTGCTACAGTTTCGGTAACCGGAAAGTGGGAGAATGTGGTATACGGCCAAGCACGATCAGTTGGTTCAAGAACTTGGTAGCCGTAACTTTGATCTACAAGCGCAACTGACTGCGCGTCTGGCCATTTACGCCAGCGTCACTAACCATAGGGGGAAAGTCGATTGTTTGCTGGGATCCAATCCAGTAGGGCGCTTCCAGCTCGGGCTGGAAGCCACGATCCATTCGGTTAGGACTATTAGATAACTGAAGTGTGAAATTGGGAAACCCGAGCTTGGCCTAAACGGCTTGAGGTGCGTGACCGAGGTGGGGTCTTGTGTGGTGTTTCGGCACACAGCATACATCGACCGATTTGGCAAGCAAGGTTTAAGCACGAGAAGCCTGTTGCCCAATTCGACATGGAGTAGGACAATAAAGGCTCTAGTCTGAATCAGATCTTTTGAGGTTAGTGAATGATTGTTTTGGTTTATTTGGGCGCTGGTATGGACACGGGGCACAGTCTAGGAGATTGGTAGATGCGTTTATCGCGCTGCGTTATTCGGTGTTTTGGGAGGTATGTGGGGGTGAACCAGTGAGCGAAGAGCTGCATGGGTAAATGATACTTCCCGGTTTTCTGAGCCGAAGAAGGAGCTGTGATTGAGATACCTCGCCTGGAGCCTTTGACCCAAAAGTCTGGCCCACAAGGCAGTGATTGTTAGGGTTTTTTGAGGAACTCTTCCCGGAGCCAATGCTTCAATAGACTGATCCACTTGGCTGTAAGTGCAGGCCTAGCCCTACGAATCATGGAGTAAGTCCCTTCCCCGTACAGTTTTATTCTTTTCTTCACAATACGGCTTCCAAATAAATGAGGATTGTACGGCAACATCATTGTTGAATATTGCAGGTGCCTTTTGAACAACATCAGACACTTTGGTTATAAAAGTATTTTGACCGCATTGAATAATGTGCCGGTGGTCTCGACCAACAGATGGGCGATTAAAATGGGCGGTTTTTGGGAACGACCTTTTCTAGCTCGTCCTTTATCGGGAAGCAGCATCACCGCTTCCATGGATATGGACGTGCTGGTTGCCTGGGGAAAAATTCTTGCTGCCTTCACACTCCTACCGCGGAAGGCAGCACGACTTTAACCCCCGACTCGCCTTGCGGATACTTGCTCTTCGTCAGGCTGCTTCCCGTCGGTTTTTCTGACACGCTTGAACCTTTAGGAACTGATTTATAACCAGTGTAACCCTCAGGAGCATCACAGCACAGAAGCTTGACCACCACGACAAGGTGACAGCCCCAGTTCGTGAGTTTTCTTCAGAACGACAAATTGCAAGAAGGATATCCGACTTGGTAGAAGAGTGTGAGAGTTGACGAGGAGTTTGAGTATTGTTTTAGATAGCTCGGCGATTGAGGGCGAACTCACCGCCTCAACGGTCTGTCTTTTGAACCAAACCTCAGCTTCTTAACCGCTTCTGCCTAGACTTGGGTAACTTGGCAGTATCTCAGAGCTTGGACTTCCTTTGGGTCGCATGGCTGTTAGATATCGAAAGGGAGTTACGCTTGAACGATTGGTGTTACTGGCATAGTCTGCCTTCCAGGATGGAGTCGTTTCAGGAAGTTCTGGTTGACGGATGGCAGCGAGTTTCGTGCTGAGGATTTCTTTGCATATTGGGTGAGCGGTTTGAAGTGTGAACATCTCAGAATGGTCGTGGGACAGTAGTACCGAGGCCGTTTCACATCCACTTTTTTTGCACTGGAAGGCTCCATGTATAATTGAATAAATGAATGGTCGTGGGACAGTAGTACCGACGCCGTTTCACATCCACTCTTTTTTTTGCACTGGAAGGCTCCATGTATAATTGAATAAAGCTGTAACGGCACAGTAGCCGAGCCTCTCACTCAGTGGTTAACGAGAGCTTTAACTCATTCCACGGGGTAAGACACTAACTTTTTCATCGGTGCCTGTGATCAGCCTACAAAATTGCTCTCCTATCAGGTTTGTGGGGTAGAAGCCATGACGAAAACTACGGATCGTCTGCTGTGCATTGAAGACAAAATCTGAAGCAATCAGGCGTCTCATCCTAGATCAACAGCCACAGCGGATGTAGGCGGAAGAAGTTTGCATGGTGTGTTCAGCTCCACTGGTCCTAAATTGTATTCATGCACATTTTACACACACGGTACGCTCACCCTTGCTGCAGAGAGTTCACCGCACACGATCACTGGTAGAAAGTGACTAGGGTCTCCAGTCAACGATCTTCGCCACTTTCTTAATCTTAGCCCTTAACACTGAGTTCACCGCACACGATCACTGGTAGAAAGTGACTAGGGTCTCCAGTCAACGATCTTCGCCACTTTCTTAATCTTAGCCCTTAACACTAATATGCTGCACGCTTTTTCAGCCCACAGCCTTCGTTGAGTTCACTTCTGCGCATCGAGTTTTACAGTGATCAGAACTGAAGTACGTTCACATATAGGGTGGATAAGTGGGTCCGGATTATGCCAAAGACGAAACCCGACTTTGGAACACGAGTTATTGTGATCTCAAGAGGAACCGTTGGCCACGAAGCCTATAATATATCTTGTTTTTCTTTTCAGCCAATTAGTTCCGCGACAGACTGAAACCTCGACGGCTTTGGCCGCCGTATCTTCCAGACAGATCAAGGTGGTTTTCTGTCTAAAGGTGTAAGGCCGAAGCCATTGTTCTGCTCATACTAGCCATGACTATCCTGGAGTCAGACAAAGACAATGGAGTCTTGGACACTAGCCTGGCACAGTCGTTTTATGCTAAGTATGAGGTACTGGATATTCTCGGTTCGGGTGCGAGCAGTACTGTACGACGGTGTGTTGAAAAGAAGACAAAAGAAGAGTTTGCTGTAAAAATTATCGACCTGAACAGTGGTGTTGATTTGCCGGACGTGATCCGTTCCGAATGCATGCGTGAAGTTTCCATACTTCGGCGGGTTTCTGGCCATCCGAATATAATTGGTTTGCATGACGTATTCGAAGGGGATGCCTATATCTTCCTAGTATTTGAAGTGTAAGTTATTTTCTTTCTCGAACTTCCATAATTGATTCGATTTTCCGTTCAGTTGTCGAGGTGGAGAGCTGTTCGACTACCTGACGCACAAAGTTACTGTTTCGGAAAAACGCACACGTATTTTTATGCGTCAATTGTTTGATGCCGTTGATTTCATCCATAAGAGACGAATTGTGCACCGGGATTTAAAGCCGGAGAATATACTCTTAGACAGTCGGGAGAATATAAAGCTGACAGATTTTGGTTTGGCCGTGTTCACAGACGACAAGGAAGAACTACGAGGTTAGTCAGTGAGCAGACTGTTCATTTTTATCCATATTTGTTGAGCATCGGCTATCTTTTGAACATAGACTATACGAACCCTACTGCGTAAATTGGTAGTTCATGCCAATGTATGGAGTGAAGTGGATTCGCCAGTTTTATAACATTTACGTTGGCTCGTCATTTGAACGGGTGTATGCGACTAAGACATCCTCCTTGACAAGTGGGCTGCGCTCACTGTAACGACATTGACTATTGATTGCTTTCAAGTACCCTTACTCATCTAATTTCCAAAAAAGCAATAGCGTCCAACCGCTACGGAAGACTTGGTAGATGGGTCGTTAAGTTTCGGACTTTCGGTACTTTTGCCGCACCACACGGTGGAGGGTGTTTTCCGAAACCAATTTGAATTTCTAACATAAAATTCAGCCCCTGAGTGAAGCTAGCCGGTACTGGAAACCCAAGAAGCATCGTACAGGTGTTCCATCCCCAGTGGAAATCATCAGCAGTGCACCTGTCATAAAACTCAGGTAGCTTAGAACCCGCGGCCTCCCGGCTAATAGTCGAAGACTAAAGGGTTCGGTGACGAACGGTCGATCAGCAGTCTGATCAGGTGACACTCAGACAGGATATGGTACCACTCAATCTTCAGTTTACATCGCGTGGTCACGTGCGGGATGAACTTGTTGTATCAAAATAATGACACCAAATGGGTTGTAAGTCACAATTAGACAAGTACATTACACCCAGTGGGATTCGTGGTGGGTTATCCGCCCAAATAACGCTTGTTATGATTTCTTGTACGATGAACCTTCTTTCGTAATGCATTAATTTCCGCTGTCACCCGTCGCATTCGGTCTATCTGACTGGATTCTACCACTCCGACGACAAATATCATTCTCATTTCGGTGGGCTGTAGTGCGGGATTGCCAAAGGACTTTATCCGGTCCATGCCCCTTTCCTCTCATAGGGCAGCCACGCGTCTATGTGGCGTGCGCTGCAGTGGCAACTTCAGGCTCTCGTTAACTTCATTTGTAAAAATCATCCGAACCATCGGGTTCGTCGTAATGTAGTATTATCTGTATTGCCCAAAATTACTTAATTCACGGACTTCCATCCCATTTGGTCAACAGCCTACTGGCGAGTTATTTTCACATCGTCTACGGTTATGAGACTTGCATTTCCAACCAAGCTCCTTCCTTCCGTTGGTCCGATAGTTTACCTTATTGGGTGTTGCAAGTCGTAGTGGCATGTGTTAAGGCGATCTTAAATGCCGGTCCAGCGTTTTTCTCAATGGTCTGGACAATAGGCCCAGACATAGAGCGTGGGACTTATTGGTGTGTAGATTTTTAGCTGACCACTTCGATAACGACTTCTTAACGCGGTTTAGAAGAACGACTTTGTGTGCTTGTCTGTGGGTGGTAATGAAACTATCGAGACCATCAAATTTGACCTTGTTGGATGAGCAGCCCGGATCGGCCAAGGCTAAGGCATTGACGGTGGACCTGCTCATTGGATATGCGGTCTTCAAGACATAGTCCCAGAATACTTTTCAAATACCAATGATGAAAAATCTTCACCGTGTGTGTCCAACACACTCATCAGGTAGGTTTCGCTGACTGATCTGATGACATCATCATTATGGTTCGTGGATTCGTACTTAGCCTGGCCGTCTGGATGGATGATCTGGTCGCAAACGTTTTCCAGTCCCACTTCGTTTTCCTTTGGGGTTGGCCACTGATGGGGAAATACCTTTGTTTTTCTTTGTTGATCTCAGGGCCCTCAAAAGAAGCACGTAGAAGATTTGATCACTTTGCTGTAGACTATAGTGACCAGCAGCGGACACGACTATTGTCATATGCGAATTCAAGATACGTGACAGTTTCAACGGCCCTTGGTATCCTTTGGCAGCTCCACGAAGTTGAACAGTATAGGGGACAGCGGATAATCCTGTTGAACCCCAGACAACCTAATCTTTTGCTGTACATACGGGCACATGAACTTCTGGACTCCTACTAAGACCTCAACAGTCTGATTAACTTGGTAGGGATGACGTCTGAAGGTAATGTATCCCACAGTTCTCGATTCGCAAATTCGACACCACCAAGAAACCAATGAAGAGGTAACAGTCGGTTGGAAAAGGTTGGGAACCGATTGAGGAGTCATCGATTCAGAAGGGTTTGGTAAACAATTGATAGTTTTTAATTGGCAAAACTTTCGCTTTTGACACAAAAGCTTCATCAGACCAAGTGAGCGGGTCACCCAACTGACCAGGTTTTAAGGCAGACGGAGAACCAATCACTAAGACTTCCTCATATTATCACACTAGATCAGGGTTTAGTGTCAGTTAACGGCTCTCGTCAGTTTGTGTGCCTGCCAAAACCTTGCATGGATGAGTTTGAGGAGTTTCAACTTAGTTCCGATCGGTTTTTGTTCCTTAACCTTCCACTTCAGGGCGCACCAATTGATGACTCGCTGCGGGTGCCACTGGTAGGTTTTCGTTGGTCTTCGTGGGCTTGTGAATGTTGCGACAATTAAGTTTGGTGGAGGGGATGTGGGTAAGGTTAAGTGGAGTTTAAATGACGACATAATAACCAGGTTGCGATGGGCCTCATTTTTTTCCAGAATTTTTTTCACAAACGTTGCCAAACCAACCGTGCAGAGGTAACTATCAGTGGATATCCAATCAAGTAGAGACTCGTCCTCTTGGTTGCTGAATATAGTACCCACCCCGGCATATCCAGCTGCAATAGCCACCGTATAACTAGAGGTGCGTAGCCGAAAGCTAAAAGAGGGCGATCAGTTCAACTTCAGTACTCGCACTCTGTATACCTTGTTTCTGGCAGACAACATGTATCAGTGCAGAGGGAATCCAAGATACAAGCAAGAGCCACCTGGTTTCCTGCTAGATTCAGTGTACGAACAAGAAAAGCAGTTGGTATGGCAAGCGTTCGAGGTTTGAAAACGGATTTCAGATAATTTAGGGTTTTTACTGAAGTCGGACGTACAGGAGATGCAGTTGAATGTGATGCTCGGTGAACAGTCCGGTCGGTCCTAGTGCTGGAATTTGTAGAGAAAGTAAGCAAACTCGGGTGGTGTAGGGTAAAAGAGGGAAAGTTTGAAAGTTTAAGGAGGGAGGCATCATCGGTAGCATGTTTTCGCCTACCTGCTGTGTGCAGCAAGTAAGGCAAACCGACTGGTGGCGCCACGCGACGGCCGATGTATCATGAGAGTATCGTTAGTTGTAAGTGTCGTGGTTATACTTTGCCCGGGATACTGGCATGGTATCCAGTCCTAGATGAAAACCTTTGCCTCAAAAGCCTGACCGTAAGGCAGCGAAAAGACATCCGGACGGTCTCATGCTACGACTACTCTCATTGCTGGGACTTTATACTTCCCTTTTGGTCTTTCCCGAATAGCTAAACCTTAGGAAACAATGTTCCAGCCAGTTTATACTGTGGGGTCACTACGACACTCATTTTCGGTCAGCACTTCGAGCTGGGAGCTATCGGCTGAACTGCTGTCGCTTACCGTCCCAAACCGCTGCTAGCGAAATGTTTGACGGGAGATAGGCCATTACATGGTAGCGCGGGGTGAAAGTAACCACATCAAATGGTGTGCCTTGAAATATCCGCGCTTTTCCGACTAGAATCGAAGTTGCAGGAGCCCTCGCATGAAATTGAACCTAACAGACCTTATTTGGGGGATTTTTGTTACCACCTAGTCGGGCCGTATAGGTGAAGTTGCGCATTAGATTGGGTTTGTAAAAGGCAGGTTAGTCCCTATGATAAGCCCGATCCCAATACGTTTATTTAAAGGCTCTTTGAAGGTGGCTTCTCAGAGGATATACTTTTTGCATCAACTTTCACTCTCTTTCTCTCTACTATTTACTGGAGAGGTTTTCGGTCTGGTTGTATGGCATTTAGATGCTGTTATTTGCTACCGGTATGATACTGTCGATGGTGGTGGTGCGTATCCGTACTCTGATTTATATTTGTCATTAGTAGGCTCATCAACTAGTCTGTCATTGAATACTCAAAACGTGGTGGTGGAATAATCCCGTCAGGTCGTTTGTCTACCCAAGGAAAGATGTCAGGATGAGACTCACATCTACCATTTCCCCCAGTTATAATTGTGCTCAAGCTACATCGCGTTTCGTAGCGAAATTCAGCTAAAGTAGGATCGATTTATCATAATTTCGTCATTGGTCGTGCTGATTGATTTCTCCTCTTTACACACTCAGAAACTCGCGGGACACCTGGTTATTTAGCCCCTGAGGTCCTCATGGTTGGCTACTACGAGGACCAGCCTCCCTACGGACAACCAGTAGATATGTGGGCGTGTGGGGTCATTATGTACACTTTGTTAGCCGGTTGCCCACCTTTCTGGAACCGTAAAGAACATCTGATGTTGCGGCAAATCATGGAGGGCCGTTATTCATTCCCAAGTCCTGAGTGGGATGACATCAGTGAGACAGCCAAAGATTTGGTACGTTTTGGTTGTTTGTGTTTGTGTTGTCACTTGTTCAAAGCTAAGTGGTGCTCACAGCGAAGATGTAGTTGTTAGTGTTGAAGCGGCCAGACCGTGATTTCGGATGCTTTTCTGATATATAACATGTTTTTGTTGTTGCTGCCATGGGATCCATTTCTTGTTTCTTAAGATGAAATTTAATGGATAGCCATTGCATCAGTATACTGCGTAAGGGTTATACTTCGCGTTTCCTTTCAGTCCAGTTGTACTGAAGTGTCTCTTTGTATCCGGAACAGAGTTTCGATGTAACTCTTCTTGTGCTAGGTTCTAGGTTGGAGTATCAAGTGGTGGGACCATTGGTCGAAGTGAAGCCTTTGTACCTCTAGTAGACCATAGAATTGGGCGATTTTGCTGTCATCTGCCTTCATTTTCCATCTTTCATGACTGATTTTCCATGGGTTATTTGTAATGTGTCGTGTTAATGCGACTGACCACCTTTGAATTTGGGCGATGCTTGCACAGGGCGATCATCACAATGCAAAGTATATTTCAAGACCGAATGAGTTTAATCGGAATTCCAGAACCAGTGTTGTTTATTGAACTAGCTGCACGCACTTTCACCAATACTGTGTTGGGTAAACAGGGCGGAAAATATCTACGCTGATAAAGGAACATCTGCAGCAATCAGAAGGCATGATTCACTGTCCCTGGTTTCAATACAGAAGAGGAGCACGTATTCACTCCAGAAAACGTGGTCTTGGTACGCGGAAACAAGGGCATGACAAGCAAGGGTATTTCTGGAAGTATGGTACTCTTCCATGACCGATACATAGCAATTGACCCTATCTATGTTCAACTACAGGCTAAGGATCATCAACTTAATCGCATAGCTCAAAGGAACGAACGGATGAGTTGACATTGAACCGAAAGGTCAAGGGTCACATGGAATGAATCGGGGAGGTCAAACTCAGGGATCATTCGGATCCCGACCGGTCAGAAAACTGGCCAACCATCCGAGAATCGCATCCGATCATCCAAACGAAAAATCAGTAAGCGGCTACGCCCACCGAGCCAACAAGACATATTTAAACACAAGCACTGCAGTTTTCACTGCCTACACACCAACTCGCCGCCAGCTCACGGCCCACTGAAGATGTCACCTTAGTTGGTGGCGAAACGTTTGCAAGGAAATTGTCCACCTCAGCTAACGGAATAACAATCATCTACATACGCTGAACTGCCAATATGTCTCTCATTGGCGAATTAAAGCTCCAGTGCTCCGATATCGCTGAGTTTACATTCTAGCGACCTTGAATTCTCTGCCTGTTTGTTTGTTTGGTATGTTGTTCTCACGCACTGTTCCTGTTGAGTAGGACATGATCACTTCTGAGGCGAGATGACTTAGTGGTTAGAGTGCGAATTCACTGACCGGAAGGTCCGTCGTGCGAACCTGACTTCTGCATCTCGAATTCTCCCGTCTAGGTTCGGGCAATTTGGCAGTATCCCAGCCATCGTGCTTCCTTCGGGTGGCATGTCAGCTGGGCACCGAAAGGGTGTTACAGCTGGACGATTATTTATTTATTTTTATTTCCGAGGTGCGTGCCATCATCATCGTCAGAAACCATTTGGCTGACGTGAATCACTAAAACCGCTCGGTCGACCTCAGTGGCACCCTAAGGCGGATTCGACGCACTGTATGATCTTTCGTTAGAGGATGTCTATCGTGTAGTTGGAATGAGTTGTAAAACCGCCGGTTCTTGGGAACTCCAAGTGATGTCAGTCGGCATTAAAGTGACAGTTGTCGAGACCTAACTCGCGAAAACCCGATGACCCGTATAAGTTTTAATCAATAACTGCGTTTTATCAAGTGAGTCTGGTCAGATACTAGTGCAGCTGTTCGTTAGGCGCGTCACTTGTCGTTTATCAGACTCATTGAGTCAGATGGAATAACCTTTGAACACATGTTTTTCGACCTTGGATAATGTACTTACTATGGTATTTTAAGTAAAGTATTTTCCAATCAACGACCAAAACCTTAGGCACTGTTCGCTTAAGGATCTGATTTAAAATCTCGTCGGTGGCAATGCTACGAACAGTTGGCTCGTACTACGTAAGCTTGTCGAAAAAACTCGGTGAAAGCGTCGATAGATTGTCAGTCTACCTCTTTCAGCGTCCTTCATTATAGCTCCTCAGCTTTGAGTGAGTGAGATTAGGGAACATACTTTTGTGAGGAAGGGTTCTAGTTCACAAGTGCACTTGGGATCCAGGCTAGTTGATGTTGTCTGAGCTATCATTTTTGCGGTTTGCAGGACATGCTGAAAAGGTACTTCGGTCAGATTTCGACGAATGAGACCGTGTGTTGGATTTCTGTCGCGCGATCAAGTCTTTATGTTTATTGGTTAACGGTGCGTTCATTTTTATCCCAGAGAAAACATATCGTACCAGTTGTTCACATCTGTTTACAAAATTGTCGTTACGTAACTGGTCTACATAGTTCCGGCACGCGTTGTGTGCTAAACCCTTTTTGATCAGTCCTCTGTTTATCCGGTCTGACCTCCGGATCCTCGGAAATTTCCATATTTCCACTAAGCATATTCGGCCCCACAGTGGCCTCTTCCGATATAAGCTATATATGTTACGGCTTGCACTCTGACGATGGGCGATGGACGGTCATTTGAACTTGAGAGTGGTAGCCTTGTTGTATTGTTAATGTTAAAACCGGTAGTTTTCAGACAGCCTCACTGAGGACAATGTACTAGCGTCGCGTTATTCCCCAACTTCTCGGGAATTGTTTATATATAGCGTTGCAGAATGGAGTAAAATAGCCCCCCCCATCAAGAACGAACCCTTCTACCGAACTGAACGTATTTTTTTTCAATTCACGAAGAAGCTTGTTCTTGGGGAGGACTCTTTATAGTTTACACTATTTGGGATGCTGATCTGGAGTTAGACCGAAACCTGAATGTCTCACGTGAATCTTCTATCTTGATCCTCTTCAATCGGATGTGTAGCGTAGAATCTAACTCCAAATTCAGTTGGCAAAGCACTGAAATATCCACCTGTAAATTGTCTGGAAAACCGACTGGGGCTCATCAGCTACCAAATTCTGGTTCTACCTGTTTTCTGTTGAAATTCGGTCGCCGCACGACCTCATGAACAAACTGCCTGTCAGATAATTTTGCTCAATCTTCCTGATTTGAGTTGAGATTTCTTAACAGGTTTTTCCTCCGGTTTTTGACTGTAGATCCGACGACTACTGGTCGTGGACACAAATAATCGAATAAAGTCAGAGGAGGCTCTGAGGCATGACTTCTTCGTGCAACAGGTGAGGGTTTGTGTTTTTCTCTCGACTAGATGAGAAAATTAGTCACTGTAGGCTTTTTGTCATTCAGGACAGTTTGGAGGGGCCCTAGTTTTTCATCCGCGGGTGTAGCCTTGGTATGAACCATGAACCGAGGGTTGCCACAGCCGGGCGCCGGTAGTGAAAGATCAGGATGCGGCTGTATGAGCTTCATGGAGGTGAGATGGCTCAGTGCGGATTTACTGACCCGAAGGTCCGTGGTTTGAAGCCAACATCTGCACCTCGACTTGGGCAACCTGACAGTGTCCCGGCCCTCGTTCATCCTTCGGGTAGCTTGGTAGCCAGGCACCCAAAGGGTGTTACAGCTGAACGAGTTCTATATTTTATTTATATATGAGCTTCATAAAGACTAATAATGTGTTAAAAGTTGAGGATAAGCGAGCAGGTGTGCCGGCGCCTTTAGCTGCGCATGTCTGTAAATGAGGTTTTAACGCTACTCCAGCCTCAAAGACAGATTTACGAAGATTCATTTTTAGGCTTCTCATTCCTTATCCAGCCTGTCTTCTATTCAGAGTTGGCTTCGGCAAACAGAACATGACGAGGCAATCGATCATGTGGTACATACAGAACAGCCATTCTAGCTATCGTTAGCGTTAGATGGCCGAAAACTATTCGTTCCACCTCAGGTCTTTTTACTCGTTATTCCCATTCTATAGGTGCCATGCTTAGAAGGCATGCGAGTTTCTTTTTTCTTCACTGCACATTTGGATATTCCGTAACCATAAAGCGACATAGGACACACCAGTGTCGTAGACTCTGTCCTCTTCCTCGTCGTCGCTGTACGTTCCGAACCGAACAAAAGGAAAGCCGACTTGTTTGATAATAATTCTGTCCGAAAAGACAACCACTTAAGCCAGTGAATGTGTTCACCATTTCTAGCGCCTGAAATATCATGATTGCTTTGAATCACCCCACTCTCGAGTAACACTTTGCATTCTGAAAGTGCCAAACGCATGCCGACAACATTACATAAGTTGTTCCTTGTAATTTTACCGAGTCTGCGTTCAGCTGTAGCACACTTTCGGTGCCTGACTGCCATGCCACTAGAAGGAAGCCCGAGGGCTGGGATACTGCCAGTTTGCTCAAGACTAGACAGGAGAGTCGAGAGGCAGAAGTCGGGTTCGAACAACGGTCCTTCCGGTCAGTAAATTCGCGCTCTTACCACTAAGGCATCTCGCCCCACCGGAGTCTGACTCGAGTACAGTGACTTCTTAAAGCGAAGTCATCACCAGAAAAGGATAGTTATAGTCTTTCTTGACTTAACGGTCTGGTGCGTTAGGTAATGGTCGTCTTCGGAGCCAATGACGCAAGTCATTCACTTGGTAGTTTGACTTTGCCTAATGGGCGGCACCGCACATAGCAAGAAGTTTATGAGCAGCGCCAGATTTCGACCGTACTGAATGACACGCAGAACTCTCACGATCAATATTCCTACGAACGAAGTGTCTAGTTTCTAAGGCCGGTTTATTCTTTTCCGGGTAAGAAGGCAGTGTCACCTCCTACTTAAATATGAGGGAGATGCTCTGGAAGAAACACTACACTGCTTACACTCCTGTGGCGTCGAACAGACCGTCTTTTAATACAATTACCCATAGTATGGGTACTTATTGCTGTTCATCAGACTGTTCTGCGTCGCCTACTCTGGCGTGGTCGGACACCAAGGAAGGCTGAGTCCCAGTCCACAGGATTGTTGTAGCATTGAAGCAGCTCTAGGCTCACGCCATTTTTATGTCGTAGTCTGCCGAATGTATGAACACTGTATACCTGACCAATCGTTTTCATTCACTTTGTATAAACTAACCCGAACTCAAGCAGAAAGTGCTTACAGGAAGCGGCTTTCCCGCAGCCATACTTGTGTTCTACTGAACTTTTTGCGAGCTGTAAGATTTCGGGTCTGTTAGTGGAATTCGCAGTCTACAGAATTCCAGAAGCATATTTATTGAGGTTTATTTGTAAGTTTCAGCAATCTCAGCATCACAAACACATTTATTTATCCTTAGATTTTGCATCATTTGCTCAGATTTCTTCGCTAACCCACAGTATCTTGGCTTGTTGTGTATTACCGGATATTCTATCAGACTCTAATGTGCTCCAGATTTAGTTGTATTAGCCATCTTGAGCTCGAGTAAGCTCAGTGGTTAAGGCGCGAAGCGGAGGGTTCGTGGCCTCTGTTTCTCGACTCTTCCTGTTTAGGCTTGGACAGCCCTTATGCTTCCTGCGGGTAGCGTATCAGGTAGGCATTGAAAGGTGCCACAGCTGGGCTAGTTTATTCGCCATATGCCACGCTGAATACGTGATCGTGAATAAATTAACTGCAAGTGTCTATCGCGGTTTCCCTGGTTTGGTCTGTCTGTCAGTCTGTCTATCTTATGCTTCTCCTATTTCTAGACTCTCGCAGTTCCCTCGGGATTCGATGCCAGGCACAAATTTCGGGTGAGTTTTTTCTCGTGTTGAGGAATGAGACAAGTGACTATTTTCGTTCACGTTCGGTATGATAATTACTGTAACGGACTAATGAGATCGCTCGTACGCACAAGTATAGCCATTGTGGTGACTTCAAACACCGAAGGGAAGGTCATCTTCTGGAGAGCGGTCGGATGTTACAAGTGTCTATCTACAAAGGGGCAGGTTAATGACCACCAGAATGGAAGCAATGTATAGTTTATTTTCTGAACGTGGATGTATCCCTGTTCCGTTCATAGTTGTGTTCGCAGAAGAAATATTTCATGTTGAACCCGATTGTTATGAGCTAAGTAACACTCAGTATCTGAACTGTTTCAATGAGACCCAAGCCAGTTGAAAATTAGCTTTTTTGGCGGTTTTGGTAACAGTTTCCACAACTCGGGTGCATCGTTCGGATTGGCTGACCCAGATTTGGGCTCATCTTCCTCCGTATTAGTGTAACTTTGATGTCATAGCATAGCACTCTAACTAAATTATTTGCCATGTGATTAGTCTCCCGATTCCTTGTCAGGTCTCCCTTCACCATCTTCTTTTATCTGGCTAGGTGGGCATCTTGGCGGTACGTTTTATTCATTGTCTAAGAGACCTGCGAACTCGAGGCGGTTATCTACACATCAAACAACTTGCCGTCGACCCCTATGCAAACAGGAAACTGCGCAAAATAATCGACACGTTGTCCTACGATGTCTACAGCCAATGGGTCAAAAAGGGCGAAGACCAAAATCGTGCAGCCATGTTTGAAAATGTGCCTCGACGCGATTTGGTCGAGCCCGTTTCAAAAGATGAGGAGGAGGATGACGAATTTATCGGAGCGTTTTGCCGTACTGACACGGTTGAATACGGAACTTTTGACTACGATGACGAAGAATGTTTACGCGCTCCTATTAGAGTAGAGTACTGAGTTGGCGATCATGAAGGCCGCTCGCTAGTGCAATACCCAATCCATTCATTCGCCCCACCCGTCGTTCATCACTGTTCCCATTTAAAATCACAACGAAGCCACAGATCATGTCCTTTAGCACTATTACCTATGTTTATTATGTTTATGTCCTCGAGTACGTCCATGCGCTCGTGTGTACAAAGAGGTGTTTTCTTCAGCAAATCACTTGTGATAAGCAGTATACCATAACCAATACTATGCCTTATCTCCACAGAACGTCGTTCTCTGATTTTTGTTTTACGCCCGAGATATCGGAGGGGGCGGGGCGTCAACTCATACGTGACAAGGTTCAGGTTTCGCCTATTCATGCACAGGTTTTATAGACCTGTTTGGGGTTGGTTGGGCTTGCTAAATAAGGGTCAGAATACGCGCCTATGGCGTCTTGTCCAAAAGCGTTAGATGACCAAAACAGGGCCAGTTGATAAGAATGAGAGACTTGGTGATGGCAGAAGGTCGCCGAACTTTTGTATGCTATGTCTGTGATGGTAGTCGATATTGTACGACTACTGCGTCGTATTTCGACATAAGTGGCTCTGTAAGCCCGATTTTAGAAAGCCCTCAAGTGGTCAGTATTCGAAACGGTACATATGCCGCGCGTCCTGTCGTTTTAACTAACAATTATAGCATCAGTAATTCATACCAATCGCCCTACAACTACTCGTTTCTTTTTGACTTCGGTCTTATTCCCACCGTCTTAAGGGGTTAAAGTGCGCTCCGCCTGGTCGATATACAGCTTTGTCGAGAACTGCATGAAGTATTGAGTAGTAATTAGCATTCAGCTGTAACACCTCTCCGGTGCATACCGGCTATGCTACCTGAAGGAAGCTGGAGGGCTTACGTAATTCCACGTTTTCAAAGCCTAGAACTGAACAGTCGAGACGCTGAGGTTAGGTTCGAACCGCATACCTTTCGGTAAGTTCGAGTCTGAACTGCTGAGGCTTTTTTAGCTCATGGAATGAAATACGCTGTTTTGCACTGCGCTGACATGATGCAGCGCGAAAATCCGGGAACGGGTGTGAGCGTCCTAATACCTCGCGTCTCCGTACATCAATGATGTTCGTCTACAACCACTAACTGGCCTCGGGACCTCAGTTGAACTCACTAAGCTGGTCATCGTCATTGACACCTGAGGAGAACACTGGTGTGTCATTGTCGTACAACCAGGTCAATTTATTTAAATGAAGCCTTATAATGGAGAGAAAGAAATGGGATAGAGAAAAGGACATAGGGTTAAGCTATCACGAACATCCGAAGGGCGTGAACATCCAACAAGCAGTCTGACAATCTGGATAGAAACTGACAGCATCAACCTCAATACCTCTCCCACTGCACTTTTCCCTTCATAATCGTCATCACTAGTAGCAACATCAGATGAGAACACTAGTACTTCCCCTTATTTGAGTTAGAGGCACCAAGGGTCAACCAATCGCAAACATCCGAAAGGTCTACATCTCCAGTACTTAGCCAGACAATGTGGATAGAAAATGACAGCATGAAAATCATTAAAACCGGTTAGCCGCCATATCGTTCGGTATTTCCAGCCAAGCAAAAGGAGTGTCATGTGTACCCCATCGCAGACAGTGAACAGCATCAACGGCACCCAAAACTTTTGGAGAATCTCTCATCTCTTTCTACCATATCACTTTCTGTCCACCTCTGGGTATCCGCCACTCCGAATTAGGCAAAGAAAATTACACTCTTAGCGGCATCCGTAAAACGACTCAACCACATTCGATAGGATGGATGCATTATTTGAATGAATTACGGTCTGGTTCACCAAGGGGTCATTCCGAATTAGCTGGTTTCAACCATACTTCCGAGACATCGGTTGTCAAAGATCTGAAGATATCTCATCCGAATTAGTCTTGCAGCCGTGCACAACCACACAGGATGGGATCGAGCCAAAGAAGGTCAAGAAATGAGTTGGCAGCAAATTATGACAGTCATCATCAACAGACGCAGTTGAGCCGGTCACTGTCATTCCCCAAATGTGGTTCACGTGACCCTCGAGACGGGACAGTCAATGGTTAGAGATAGCGACAGATACGACCCGGTCGCGCGCATGCATGCAGGCTGTTAACTTTATTGTACAGCCTCCGGTCACGATCTCGCCTAGGAAAACTCCACTGTCATCCGTGCACTCATGCGCCACCTCTATCGGATACTGCCTCCAATGCGCAGCCATCCACCTCTATCTTCCCTCATCATCAGCGAGCAAAACAGTGGTCGCCATAGCCACTGTACAAGGACGCAGTTTACAGGCGATGACTTTTCAACGGAAGGAAAAGCAACAAGCGCCGTTGGAGATCCATTTAGCATAAAAGTGTGTTGAGGATGCGCCCTCCATCAGTCTGATACAAGGATCCCAGATAGTGGAAGAGAAAACAAAACGTATCGGCCGTTGGAGATCCATTTGGCATAAAAGTGTGTATTGAGGATCCGTCCTCCATCAGTCTGATACAAGGATCTCAGATAGTGGAAGAGAAAACAAAACGTATCAAAAGTCGACGTAGGAATTCACATTTACAAGCAACAAGAGATACACGTTCCAAAGAATCTTAGTATCTTGTTGTTTGACTTCAGTTTTATTCGAACGGATGCTGTCTATGCTCGACCAATAAGCTGTAGGGGGTCGATAATGGAGATGGTCGTATGTGTCGCGGGGCTGGGCTGAGCGAAACAGGTGAACAAGTGAAATCGCCATAAATGAAGCAACAAACCAAGTCCCGAGACTGTAGAAGAATACAGAAAAGCCGCACCTTTCGTGATGGCAAAGTAGAACGGTTGTTCGGATGGACTCTGATAAGGGCCTCGGCTTCCAAAGAGACATTGCCAAGTTTCTGATTTATTGGACATTGACAACTGTTGGATTTTGTCCTCTAATGTAGACACATATCTTAGACTACGCTTCTGAAGGAGACAATGCATGATAGGGAAAGGTAGTTTGTCGTAGGACTGCACGGCTTGTTAGCTAATCGAAGCTCACCTAACCAGCTATTTGTCGCCCGGAAACCGGTCTGCATGGATCAGGTTAACAGACCTTACCACTACCATACGACGCATTGTTGGTGTGAAACAAAATCGTCAAACTGAGCGGACAGTCTTCTGAAGTTTAATCTGAACACAACAATGACCTTTCCTGAACAAACGCAATCGACTCATCCGAATCAATCCCTGATCCAACCGAATGGCAAAAGTCTGGTTTTACATTTATTTTTGTATCGAATAAACTAAAGATGACTGAGTAGCGACTACAGCAATGTTTCGAGGCGATACGACGTAGTCGAAAAGTCGCACGAGACAGCACACGTAACCTGCAGGTGGAATTGAAAGATGAGGACAGAGTGAAACTTGGCATACGTATTTTTCCAAAACTGTCCTAATGGAATCGATCGAGTTTTTGGACGCATCCAATCAGATACTCGGTATAAAAATGACACTGCACCGAACGATGTACGAATACGTCAATATATCAAATGCTCGCTTAAGGCTGCACTACTTAAGTGAAAATAACCGGACGAGAAAATTGTCGTCTTCCACGAGGAAATTTCAGTGCATAGTAGTGATCCTATTACCAATTAAACGGAAGTTCCTCGGATGCATTGAAATCCGATGCTATAAACGATCAGGATGGACCCGCAGGATAGGAACACAGGTTAATAATCGAGAACAAACATTATCGCTTAGAGACTACAGTTAGTTGGTCATTCCCATGAGGCATCTGAAGTGAAATAAAATGGGTAGGCAACTGCGCGAGAGGGAATCAAAATCTTAAAGCATCTTATTGAGATATGCATCCAATATTTGTATTAAATATACGGTGAATAATAGACACAGGGACAGGATCAAAATGCATACACAACCGGTGGTGAAGGAATAGCCTATTGTTTCTACTGGAGGTTCGCCAGGAAAATCCACTCGTGATGCATAAGTAGTGAAGCACGAGCAAAGATGATACTGAAGACATGGCCAGTGGTAAATCAACACCTGCGTGACTGGCCAGACATGCGAAGAAGAGTGAATACGTTGCATTCGTCGCACGCGGTCGTGGCCATCTCTCTAACGAAATTTCGAAACCACCATTTTCTATGCAACGATCGGAGAGGACAGTGGTTGAAGCCTTGGCTGGTAACTGGACATGGATTCCGGGCGACCTACATGACGTTTTTCAGAGGCATTTCGGGTGGCTAATGAACTACGGTTGTAGTCCCTAATTCTTAGTGTATTGTCAGCTACACATTTCGTCCCACTACCCTGAAAATTAAGTTCTTTGGTCAGCGGCGTCGGCTCGAAGTTGAGTTCCTAATTTCACTTAGGTATATCACCCACAGGCACATCGCCGCAGATTGATATTCTACTAACAATATCCTCTTAAAGCCCCGGAGAGGCGCGGTTCAGAAAACACACTCGTTCCGATGAGGAACAACCCTGGATGGGATGTAGGCACCATTTGACTAGCGGAGAGAGCGACAGAACATCTAAGTTTATTCGCAGTATGGTGAATCTTGGGTGTACAATAGTCCCCTAAAATAAGGCTCTTCAAATACGAACCTACTTTTAGAGAGGATAGATAGGCAAAACGCTAAATCCAAAAGTTGGAGAATTCCAGCAATTCAAAAAAGGATGTTTCCGAAATCTGGGAATTAAAAAACTGCCTTGTACGGCAGTTGATGTTCGTTTGGACATGACAGGATAGAATGTCTGTTTACGACATGTTTGATTTCAGTGGTCGCTTGTATTGCGCACTGCTGTCGCCGTTTAATCAACTTGATAGTTAAACATAAACGAACAGGCGGGACTACAAATTTGTGAGGAATCATTAGACGTTCCAGGGTATACGACTCGTCGGTGGCTGGTAGACTAATGCAATTCAAGGGCGCCAATATGGTGATGCACGAGTGTACCGAATCGTTTGGTGAACGCTCAGCTATGTGGTTACCAGTTACTTGATAAGCCGATCGTGAGGGAACGGAAATTATTGTACTTTTAAGGGCAGAATGCAGATCCTTCAACGCAGACAAGAGTAAGCATCTTCATGAGGCTTCGCTAAATAAATAGGAATAAACAACATGCAGATTTTGAAGGCTTATAGTGACGGTGAGGCTCCTAAGAATGGAAACGAAAAGGTAGCCAATGCCAAAGGATTTTGCCAAAAAATTTACCAGAACTGACTGCGAAACAGACACTCATATGTTTAGTTTGTGGAAGCAATGGCTGAGTTTCGAATTTGAAAGGATCGTGCTGCTCGCTGTTGTTACCGACAGTCATATCACATCATCACACTATCTTAGTGGCATCACTTGTGACGAAGCCGAACTGGTGAGAATTTTGATCTACACCTCGAAAACGATGCATGCACATTCCGAATGAATCAAAGACTGGTCTTGGTCTGATCGTTGGCGACTTGTACAGTACGAAAATCTGAATGCTTGACGTGAGCATTCTGAAGAGTAGGAAGCATTACTGTACCATCAAAGATCCCCCGAGTAACTGCACGAGAAGATCGGCGTCACGGAAGTAAACTAAAGTCTGATCTTGCAAAACTAGGTTCCAGCATACCTCACAGCTTAATTCGCAAGCCCAAAAACCATGAAGTTTAACATAACGTTAAGGTTGCAAGTTGATTTGGGAATAGTTGGATGAAAAGTTGGTGAAAAAAGACTAAGGGTGTCAATACTCAAGAATTGGGTTTCGAAACCGACTGTAACAATAATCAGAAAATACCTACGAAATTGTGGACTTTTCTGTAGGTAAACCAACGCAAATTAACGAAGAGAGGACCACTGTAAGGTGGGCCGGCTTTGAAACACGAAAATGTCTCGTGGTGAAAATAATATAACAAATAGTTTTCTTTGAAACACAGGAAACTGCTTACCAGAAAGAGGATACCCTTCTAGGTGGTAAATATAAGCCGTTTTTGAAATGCAGTGCCGATTTTTATAGTACTCAGCCGTACTAGATCTTTCATGCCTATTGGTAATCGGGAGATGGGTACGGAGGAAGTCGGTTATATCACCTCTGCACCCACTTTCCCAGGCTGATCACCGCATGATCACGCATTCGTCGATCAGCCTTGAATGGTTAGTGTATATTAATTGGGTTTGATTACTTGTCTGATCAGGTCTTCACTTGACCCAATCAGGACACATCAACTATTTATGGACAGGCTTTTCGAGATAAAAGTATGTCGTTCTTATGAACACTTTAATTTCCAGGCCTAAATCGTGTTAGTTACTAGGTAATCTGTAGAGGCCGATGACTAGCCAACTTACCAATATGGCCATCCACTCACAGTGGGAGAAGTTCACTAGACAAACTAGAAAGAACCGCCTAACAGTAAACAAGAGCATAAGCTTCCCTCAAAAAAAAATGAACAAGTGTGCTCAGTGGATATTGGTCAGTTCCACCAATTGATCACCCCGAATGAGGCGCTTTTTCCTGGGGGAGACTAACTTGACTGGGCCGACTAGCGAGCTCTATTAGAAGGGCTATTGTGGCTTGACTCTTCTCGTATAACTTTGATAAGGAAAACTATGGTGAGTATATGCCATTGACTAATAGAAAACTGCAATAGCCGACGAATGTTTACCAGGAAGATGTCGTTGGATTCCGAAAACCTCCTGCCACATCTTGTGACATTTCGCCCCCATTTGAACTAAGTAAGTTGGCTCGTGACCTATCGTTCAACGTTAGCAGTTTTTTAAATCGAGGACCGGAAATCACAAAACCGGTAGGATATTCTTAAGAATATCCAACTCAACACCCACCTTTTTCTCGAAGCCACAGCAGACGATCCAGAAGAACAAGCGTTTCCACTGCTGGAGTGAGCATCAAACGTAATACGTGGTAACGTACAATTGGGTACCAAGCCTCGTCCAAGGAAATTTTGGGCAGGGCGGCCTTCAACTCTTCTGATCGGAAAGGGTCAAAAAGACCTTGATGTGTTGCCCCATCCGACTGTTGCACAGCCTTCATCCGGTTCAGAAGGATCGATGAATACCTTATGTGGTAATACATTCGTTTTGTTAAGTAAAATGGTAATTTCAGACAACTGTTCTAGAAAACAGACGCTCAAAAATAAGAGCACAGTGGGGATGACAGAAAAAACTGTTGTGCGAACGATACCATCAGATGTACACGTGCACGCATGTGCAAAACAGCAGCACGAAAAAGAAAGAAATTTAGATAACACGATGCAAATAGCGACAGGAAAGCGTGATGCACGTGCCATCACACTTAACATATGGTCTAAACTCGGAACCGAACGCACGATGCCATAAAAATATAAGACTTTCGTTCAGCTCTAACACCCTGTCGGTGCTTAGCTGCCATGCCACAAAAAGGAAGCACGAGAGCTTGGATACTGCCAGGTTGCCCAAGCCTAGACAGGGAAGTCGAGAGGGGGATGTTAGGTTCGAATAACGGACCTTCCGGTCAGTAAATTCGCGCTCTAACCACTGAGCCATCTCGCCCTCCACCGCCAACAAAACAAACTCGGTTGGGTATCACGAGAATGTGTTTGTTGCCACTCACTACGACAGTCACACTAGTGTTTGTCTAGAAGAGATTACTATGGTAAAGAGTAAACTGTTTATCGAATTTTTCCCCGAAGAAAAGTCGTAAATAACCGGAACGATAAATTAAACGAGTAAGTAAAGACACATTCCAATGCAGTAATGAATGACTTGAAACCAAGCAACTGTGATCGCTTCAAAGTACATTTAATGAAACGTAAGTTGCGATAAAATCAAAAGTTGACCCCGTAAAACTACACAAGTCATTAGGTTGATACGGCTACGCGATTCGATTGTTCACCGATTGGCACATTTTGAGGACAAATACGTTAATCACAACAGAAAATACGGATTGGACTACACCACCATTCCGAATGGCGCTCAAAGCTACTGATGTCACACAAGTACAATCCATTAGAGCTAAAAATTTACTGTAGCTGAGTTCTGTGTGATCGAGCCGCGGTGTGAGATAATCACTCAGCCTTCAGAACAACTATTAAGTAGATCCCCCCTCGACAACCTGAAAGATAATAAATGTCAAGATGCCAAAACGTCGTGTTTGTTTCATCCAGTAGTATCTATCGGCATATAACTCGAAAATCAATCCCTTCCACTTTCGGACTGAGGTTGAGAATATTCAAACAACATCTGAACGATGTGCCAGCTTCGGTAACAGCAAGGCTTTCATTATTAAAATCACGCCGTAGATGATGTTCTCAACGCGATGGAGATTCCCCAGGACGGTTAATCAAACAGACTGATTCAGAAACTGTGTAAAAAGCTCGTCAAATATGTGTATCAGCTATATAAACAATTTTACCGTCCGATGAGCATGTTGAATTGTTTTCTGATCGAGAAGACCTTATACACCCACCGTGATTGATGCCGCTACCTGGATGGTGGTCAAATCATGCCAAGAAAAAGACCGAAACAAACAATCAAACAAATGCCCGATCAAGAAAGGTGGGATGCTTGTAGTTTCTTCGGGAGAGGGAACAATCAAGACTCCAAAAACCTGAACATCGACCGCCGGCTAAAAAGAAAGTTGAAAGAAATGCGTATACCAAAAAGTTCATACGAACCAAGCTAACTGACACACCTGGAACTCAGCTGAATCTCTCGTTTGTGATGTTTCCAGGTAACTGAATGTGCTGCACCAGGCCGTCTCATATTTCAGTCACCACGATATTCGAGATATCGCGATACATGCATATTTGCAAATGAGTGTATATTCGCTAATTTCGTGCAATTTGGTTTCAAGCAGAACATAAGGTTGACGGAACCTCGGGGGACTGCGCCTACCTGATGAGTTCCGAGAAGGGCGAAACCGGTTGTGGGCTGTCGACGAATTCTCAGCAATCTTATGAGAGATTCAGCTGGGTTCCAGGTAAGTCTCTCGAAAAACCAAATTGGTTTTTAAGTGAGTGTATATTCGCTAATTACATAAAAGCACTTTTGAGCACTGTAGGTCCAAAAGACTGCAACATCAATCTGATTAATTACAGAGTAAGAATTTTGTAACCATGTCTTAAGTGTCCAGCTGTTCAGATAAAGGCAAAATGCTCACAGAACGAAGGTAGTTGTCCACTCACGTGTCGAAATCCATACTATTTGCGTTCTTTACGGCACACCGTATAGCCCGGACAGCGGGTACCGGATCTGAGTGGTTTGTCCTAAGACACCGGCGCTTTTCAAGAAGCAGTTCTACAACAGCACGATACCCTTGGACGCGAAGATGTGATGTGTCCCCTGTTTTGATCGCCTGCTCCAAGCGTTCCAGATAGGCTGGAATACAATGGCACGCGGCCTCGAGTTGGGAGTAAGAGAGCTGCGTGTTGAATCCCAAAAAGGAACAAAAGTGAGGATGGGGGAACAACATAAGGAGCCAGCTGACTGTAGAAGCTATATATTGGAAATTGAAACAAATGAGTAAGAGGCAAGTAGGTTGGTCGAGAATCTGATCGCCGGCGTTTACGCCAGTATAGTATCCGTGACACTTTTGAGTTTGTGGAGCGGATAAAAGGGGTTCATATTAGTTTCAAAGATATGTGTTTTGACGTAGCCTCTCTTTTTACCAATGTGCCAGTCGTAAAGCGTGAATTTCATCTGTGATTACACTGACTCATCAGATTTGACACCCCCAATTAACACCATCTCCTTGAAAGACCTAATTTTGTGTTACATTTTTAACATGCATTTTATTGACAAATCGATGGATTTAGCACGCGCTTTTCTCTTGGTCCCTTGTTGAGTGAGATTTTATGGGTAAACTGGAGCTTGGCCGACTGAATGGGGGGTGGGGAGTTAGATGTACTCACTTCTATTGACGGTACGTGGATGATATTTTAGGCTAGCATTAAACAGCTCCAAAACAGATGCTCTCCAGGAAAACTTCAACTAACAAAATGCATCCCTCCATTCAGTCCACTTTGAAAACCAAAAGTGGTAACACGTTCCAGTTATTGGACGTTAAGTTGGCCAGGCTGGTTGAGGGTTTAATTCAGATATCTGCCTACAGAAAGTTCACGTGGATGGAACAATATACAAACCTTCATGGTCTAGTGTTGTTGAGGAAGAAATGAACCCTTTACCGCAACGACCGAGGCAAATTTGCTCTACGAATACACTGAACTCCGAACTGAAGCGCACTGCTGATGTGCTCATAAGCAACAGCTATCCAGAGATTTATAACCAAGACCAAGACTGAACTCATTTCCAACCGTCTTTCACGGCCACTGTAAAGGGACCAGTGTACGAGTCTACTATATGAAACCGAGCTGTTGGCAGAAAGTCAATAACCATTTTTTTCTATCCTTACAATACACGGTTGCTGCTGCAACTCTGCGGTTTTGGTTTACAACCCACCCTTTGCTCACCCCAAACCTCAAACACAAGATGTCCGTTCCCCTCCAGAATATGAGTGTGTATTCTCCCTCCTTCTATTGTGCAGCGGGATCTCTTGGGTGCAATACATAATTTGCTAAGAGCACCTCTGTTGTCAGAACATTACTGGACTTAACAGTCAAACCAAAAACTCAATCGCGTTACACAATTGACACCAGTCACGTGACCAGTCCGAGCGAGTCGTTTGACGTCATCTACCGAGTACCCACTAAACTGCCAGTGTCGATCCAATGACGTTGCTTGACTAGAGGTGAAGCAATCGTGAAATCCGGTAGTATGCTGTCGAAAACGAATCGTACGAGCATTGAGTCTACCTTGGTCATCTGATACGAAGCTATCGACCCAGTCACTCAAGGGCCCTCTAGATCGTCAGACATCATCCAATTAGATGCGACTTGGGGTGTCTATATTTCCACATTACTGTTTAATTTATTATTCATACTATTTTAACTAGTAGATATATACTGATCTGATGACGAGATCTCGAAAGCTGTTCGAGTTGAAGGGATGTGGAAGTGTTCCATTAGCTTCAGCCACACCCCATCAATCCAGGTAAACAAGCCACGTTGAACTTGAAGACACCCTTACTTCTACTAACAGGTGTGCCAAGGTTGCCTTCGTTTTACGATTCACGTTGACTAGATACATGTGGGTATGTGCTCAGCGTTCAGCAGACTTTAAAGATCAGCAAAAACTTCCAGTATCAATGATAATAAAGACATGGCGTTTATGAGAAAGCTTGCAAACTACTATTTAGAAATATGGTTGCTGGTCATACTTGTAAATAGCCGGGAGGTTTCTGAAACGCGCCATCTTCGTAAAGACAACACGAAGCGATCAGTGACTTGATTTTTAGCCATCATTTGTTTGGTAAAATCCTCTTGTTCGAGAAGAGCTGAATCCGTAGTTCTAACCAGCTACATGGCTAATTCTGACCAAAGTCATCCCGTCCTTTGGTATGCACTTTGCACCCACAAAGTGTAAGGTCATGCTTGTGAACAAGCAGTCACTGAACACGCTACTTACAATCCAGGGAGAGGTACTGGAAGTTGTGGGGCGTTTTACGTATCTTGGAAGTTGTATTAGTTCTGATTGCAGTGTGACAGATGAGGTGAATGCACGAATCTGCAAGGCTCGGACCGCGTTCGCTAACTTGAGACACCTATGGCGTCCGAATGGCTTATCCCTGAATCTGAAGGGACGTGTGTATCAAGCTACAGTACGGGCTGTTTTGTTGTATGGCTGTGAGACTTGGCCTATTCGACCAGCGGAACTGAGACGTCTTCAGGTGTTCGACAATCGTTGTCTCAGAACCATAGCTCGTGTGGGTTGGTGTCGGCGAATCCGTAACGAGGCAGTTAGAAAGCGTGTTTTCGGCTGTGTAACGGGTACTTCCATTGAAGAATGTGTCCAGCACCAGAAGCTGCGTTGGTTGGGACATGTGTTACGTATTTCGAACCATCGTTTGCCGAAGAGAGTGCTGTTTTCCATGCCCAACTCAGAGTGGCGTAAACAGAGAGGTGGCCAACCCATGACCTGGCAGAGGAGTATGAAGGAGATCACGAAACGCTTGGATGCTGTCGGTGCTACTCGCCTTCCAGGATGGGGACCGCGTGATCCTCACTGAACCTGGTTGGAGACACTACAAGATATGGCTGCCAACCGATGTCAGTGGCGTTATTGTTGTCAGTTTCTTTCCAGATTGCCTGAGTGAATGTCTGAAGGTGTAGGCACCTCAGAATGATTGTGGTAAGCTAGCACTAAGTTCCTTCCTTGTCTACCTTTAATCTTTTCTTTACAATAAGGCTTTCAAATAAGTCTTGGTTGTACGGCAGTGAAGCATCAGTGTTGAACACTGATGTCATGCTGTCGATGATGATGATGAAATGGCCAATTTATGAGGCTAATTTACACTGCGTACTCTAAAGAGCTCATTGAGATTCGTACTGTTGCCATGTCAGACGACTATGGTGTTGGAAGTGCAAAGGCAAAGCATTTTGCATTTTGTTCGACTCAAAGGTGATCAGTTGAAAGCTGACTTCAGCTAAAAGAAGCTCTACAATCACCCTTAAACATGGCTTATCCGGATTTCCAAGGTAATTGTTCCCCAAAACTGAAAACACAGACTGTCAGGCTTATCTGCCCATATAATCCATCAGTTGTGTTGGCACTTACATCGAAAAAAAAAACAAATTGGCGTTTATTAGAACACTTAAGACCGCATACACCAGGGTACAACTGTCGAGCAGCGGCGCAGTTGATTCTCCAAGGTCGTAGGTGTAATCACGAACCTGTATCGACTACTGTAGAGTGTCTACTGGAAACTGGCCACCTGATAGGTTCAAAAGTTTAACTAGAGATAACACAACCAAACCCGAGAATTTTATCCATCAGTGAGCAACTGTGGCACTGTCTATGCATAACGCTTTGCTGTGATCGTGGTTACGCGACAACAGCATGTCTATCCGTTCAACATGTTGCTAACTGCCTTTTGTGCAGTCTTTGAGTTCTACACATTGCGGTTCATGTCCCACGGAAAATACAGTCTATCCGTATTAATACGTTGGATAAAGAGAAGCCAATTTCCCGTAAAAAGTGGGACATTATGACCAGCACAGAAATGTACAAATGCCAATTGCAATCACTGATGCCTATGAACAGGCAACAATAGCTCAGGTTATCAGTACAACCATAACGACCGCCATTTGTTTGAATGTGATACCGAAGCTATCGACTTCGAGTCAATGGACTAGATTAGTTAGGATTCAGTCACATCGCCATATGGTCCAAACGTTATTCGGACCAAAAAGCTGAAAGTGCAGAAAAATTGATTGAATCGATTCCTACCTGTGCACGATGTTCAGTCATCCCCAGGAGCCAATTGTCAATCATGAGATAAGTCAATGCAAGCGACGCCTTGTGGCTCGTATGATTAGACTAACTGGACGAAAATTATCAATAAGATATGCTACGTCACAGTAAACGAAACTGACCATTTTATTTCGTATGGTTGACAGTGACGAACGACGAGTGGACAAAGAATGCAATGGAACACCTGCGATGGTGGTCCGTGTGACTACACACAAACGTGACGTCATATCGAACGGGAGAGGTTAAAGATGCCACTGCAGAGATTTCGGACAGCCCGAACCAGTGGTAAGCTGTGATCTCATGATAACTTCGTTATGGCTGGCTTACAATTTTCACCTGGTTGATATATGGCACAGAAGCATCTGGAGTACAAACAATAGATGATGATGTAACACACTGCTCATGACATTGCTGAAAACTCTACTGTGAAAACCAAACCGGTGTGCAAATGAGTGTGTCTATCATCGAGGATATGACGGCATTTCACCTAAGCTGTGATTTTTGACGTTCTATGGTATGCTTTGGGGGAGGTGTCGTCAAACTCTCCAAGTAGTAACAGAAGTACAGTCTACTTATTCAGTCAAACTGAGTAAAAAATCAGTCACTCAAAATCACATGAGTGTGGGCAATAACAACGAATCGAACGATGGATACCTGCGCTATGAAGGAACACCATTAGAACAGAAACACATATATAGAGAGAGGAAAAATCACCGAATGACTGTTGGGATACAATTGAACGACCTTTGGCATAAGTTTGTCAAAGCAACAAAAGAGCAACTAAGATGTGAATGAGCAGAGGGAAAAAGGTCTGCCAACCTGAACTCCATGAGACTTGAGTTGTTCACTTTGTGGTGACCATAACACTTGAGATGGGAATGGACACCGGCGATTGGCACACTCATTGTTGTTCGGATCCAGAACAGACTTCATATAACAACAGCCAACACTGATCACTGCTTTCGCTGACTCCAGTTCAGTAAAAAGACGTAGAATAGTTGTTGAGAGGTTTCCACAAGCGTGCAGTCCGGTCAGCACAATGTCCGGAGTAGGCTCACAACTGTGCAAGGTAACAAGACAACACAATTTCGAAAAATCCAGGCATATGTGAGGTTTACCAGATTGGCAAATGATCATTACGTCAGGGCCTAGGGTTAGTTTGGGATCGACCGCACAGTCAACGAAGAAAGATCTGTTGAGCAAATGAGTTGAACCGGTTGACTGTTTATGGCAGTGTATTTGTATGACCATGCATCTGATTGAAACGGCTTGAAATAATAAATCGGATTTATCATTGGCCCAGCGAAAAATACAAACATAACTTGCGGTCTATAACAACAAGCATTGTACATTAGCCCAGCCTAACCAAACAGACATATGAAGCAGCTATTCAGAAGGTTATAGTCCGGATGGTGTTGATGATGATGATGACGACGATGACGATGATAATGATGAAAGGCCTTTGATCCTTTAGGCGAACGATGCACATGAATTCATTCGACTAATAGCAGACCTCGTCCTCTTTTCTGAAGAAACCTGGCGTGTTTTCCCGTACGCTCCTTAGGAATGTGCGGAATCTAGTGGTAAGTCAAAGAGGATATAAATAAAAGCCATGCTTCTTCCCAGATAGAATATCCCTACATATGCAGGATAAGATGGCTGATTAAACGTCTTTGGTTGAGGTCTAATTCAGTAATAGTAACAGTTGTGGCAGTAATGATAATAAGGACAATAACGCTTGAACTCTCGATGTCACACACCTAGCGAACATTTGGATTTGGAGATATGCCGTTTGGAAGAGTCAATTGTCGACAGCTTCGCCTTCAGTCCCTCGATAACAGAGATAGAAATGAGATCATGCGTGTGGTGTTCACGTTAAAAACACTGGCAAAAGAGCATAGTTTGGACACAGTAACGAATTCGTCGTTCCAGTTACCCAAGAGTGGGCTTCCTCAGTATTGTTGGCTTACAACAAGTAGAAAAGAGGCCCAATGTGCGACCATGTCAGAGGTCACCTGACAGCGAATTTATCCGCGAAGTTGCCCCAGTATGTATGTGGAATCGCCTTAAGGGTATGCTGTGATTTTATCGTGGTATGCTTTCCGGGTGATGAGCTCGCGGGTTAGCTTACCTTAATCGTTGTTGAGTCAGTGCCACCTATTGAAGTTGGTATCATACTGTCCATTGGCGCCGCAACAGAGCTTGCACAAACTTCGGTCTGCCAATGGCATAGTGCTGGATCCAGACAGAGACAGTAATCGGCGGCCCGTTTCAACTTTGTCTCCATTGTATGTTCAACTCCAGTTTGCTGATACTAGTATTAAAATAGTGACTCGTTTGGTCAATGCAGACTGTACCGCAGTAATTGCAGTTCACCTTCTAACGATGTAACGTAAGAACGCCTGTGAAAAATTATGAAGACTAATAGACCAGATCGAGAGCATCTTGCATCTTTGAACCACATGGACGACGAACCAGTGGAACAGTCAATTGAAACATTTACGAGACATGACAACCAAGTTAATGTTGTGCTAAAGTTGACGGGGAAGAAGATAATGTGTGTGCGGTTCACGATGGACCGTTAGGTTGTAGTACAACCCTGGATGATTCGCATTTTCGTGAAAAGCTCACCAATTCACAGTAAATTCCATATCCTATGGCCCTACAACCGAGACTTTACAACGTTGCAGACAATAAAAAATTAACCTAGCCCGCAGAATCATATGCATAATTGGAAAGACGAATAGTAAGGGAGGCCTACGAAAAATTTGACAGACATTAATCATGAACGTAGTCAATTGAAATTAAAACAAACGAATGACCTGAAGTACCAAAGTCAGCGTGTGCAAGTCACGTGGACTTCATATAATATCAACATATGGATTCGACTTCAACAACCGATTAGTGAATCACATAATCGCAGTGAGCCTTACATTGGGTGTGGCTGACGTAACTGTATCATAAATGGCACGTTAGAAGAGCATAGAGAAATTGTAGCGAGTTCTATCTAATAGACACCACTGATTGTACGACAACGACGATCATGAGAATTATAACAACAACACTCATCATCATCATCATTGTCAGCCGTAATGACCACATACTTGCCATTCAGTGGTTGTAGCTGTCACAGTTTCGTCCACCGATGATTCGGGGAGGTGGGCTAGGTAGCTGCGCATTGGAGGCGGGAATTGATAAATTAGTACAGCACTGTAGGTGGACCGTTAAGTGGCGATCTTGTGAAGGGAGCTATGCATTGAAGGCAATAGCTTGGATGCACGAGCGCCATTGAGGGCGCGATTGGGCCATGTCTGACGTCTCTAACCATTGACGTGGCACGGGGTCCCCACCCAGGAAGACGGTAATGACCAACGCAGCTGAGTTTGCTGGTAATGGCTTTCACAATTCGCTGCCAAGTCATTGTTTGAACGCCTCTGGCTCTCTTCCAACCTTCATGTGGTTGTGCGAAAATAGCTCTTCGAGGAAGTTGGTCGACTGGCATACGCAACATGTGGCCAAGCCAGCGCAACCTATGCAGTGTGGTTAGTTCATCTATCGAGAGTGAGTTATTTCTCCCGAACACCATTCGACGAATTTCAGAATAGCTGATCCAGTGTTCCCACTAGATTCGGGCAATGCTCCGAAGACATCCATCGTCAAACACCGAGTTTTTCGGCGTGCTCGGCGTGCAGCGGCCAAGTTTCTGATGCGTATAGTAATATGGAACGCACCGCGGCAGTGTAAACTCGACCCTTGACAGAGAAGTTGATGTCACGTCTACGTCACAGGTGACGCAGGCTCGCAAAAGCTGCTCTGGCCTTCCCAATCCGGATGGAAATTTCATCTTTCGTGAGACCACCGGGGCTGATACAGCTGCCCAGGTAAACAAATTTGTCTACTACCTCAATCGGTTCATCCGCAAGCATGAGGCTAGGTTACTAAGATAGGGTACTAAGATGAGGATACTGAGATAAGGTAGTCTAGTTCTCTCTACAGTGCAATTTATCCTAATCGCCAATAAACCGCTATTTCTTGACGCATTCGTCCACCCGGCGTTGATGTCGAATTCGATTTACTGCCTCTGCATGCGTCGATCGCTTAGTGGACGTAGAGGATGCAACTACCGCACAACCTATGAGTTGGTCGTGGAGAAACGAACGTGGCTTACTGAAAGGACCAGTATTTTGAAGTGGGATAACACTGAAAGTTACCATCAAACAAAGAAATGGCCAAATTTGATACATATAACTCGTTCATATTTCTCTATGGCACTGCCTTGCTGTTGTGTTCTTCGCCACTGAATAAGGCTGGTCATTCAAACGAACTCTTGGTAGTTGTATTAGCCAATCAAACAGGGTGTCGCCCTCTTGCAACAGTCGCTGGCAGTTTTTCGTTTTAACTTTATTGATCAAAGCACGACAGCCACCATTGTTATTCTGCTTCGTTACATCAAGCAAAATGTCATGGCTATCAGTATCAACAGTTTCCTAACCAGAGATTAACATCAGTCTCTAAATGAGCAAAACAAGGATAACTCTATCGTAAAAACCTTTTCAGTGGGGATGAAAAAGATAGTATAATTCTTATTAGTCACAATGGATGACCAGGACGAAAGGTCAAACTGAGCGAAGAATTATCAGATGCCATACATACAGGCTGATAACTACATCTAATCGCGCAACCAGCCAAACGAAGATAGGCAACAAGCCGAGAGGTATGCAAACGTATTCAAGCTTGTTTTGATCATCACCCTGCCAAAAATCCTCTCGCGGGTCTCTAATTCCTCTGTCCCTACCTATTTGAATTCAGTCTAGGCCTAAGGTAGATGAATAGCAACCAGCACATAAGTCTAGTACAGGTGTATTAGATCACACATTGATAGGAATGTGGCACTTACTGCAAAACTAACTCGAATAAGTGGAGGGAATAACTCACCGACTGTCGTCAACTTCTAATAAACGCTGAAGCATATGGTTCATATCTGCTCCAATTAACCCGGAACTGATACGCATCGCACATGTTATCGGTCCTAAGATCTTCATTGGCTCATCACAAGACGGAGTGCGAAAACTCTCCACTGTTGTATCCTGAAGAAGTAACAGTCTATAAGTGATTCTTATACAACGGAACATCAACTGAACAATGAGTTAACATACCCCTACTTAATAAGATTTTACGTTATATTAACTGGTGTTCTAGTCGGTTGGGGCCGAATTCGACGGGGTCAAAATGTGAGTCGAAGTTTTGCGATTCGTTTTAAACTTTCTCTCCGAAAATTGGCAGTCAAACCCGTAAAAAGCACATCAATCAGTCCGGTTGGTTAGGAAGGTCTCAAGAAAGAATGGCGTCTTTCTCGGGGTTTCGGGTCAACTTTGAACCAACGCAAAAAAACGATCATACGCTTATCAGTTAAATTTTCTCCCCTAAATATTATGTTTCCAAGCGTGTTAAACATATTCAGTTTTTGGATGTCTTGTCCACAATTGAGCAAAACTGGTCCTGGACAAGAAAAAAATGAAATTTGGTTTCAAGTAGGTTGACGGAAATTCGGGGACTGCGCCTACCTGATGAGCTCCAAGAAGGGCGAAACCGGTCGTGGGCTGTCGGAGAGTTTTCAGCAACCTCCAGGTATACTAAATATGAGAGATGATGATTGATACTAGCGCTGGATCACTGGTCATTACAAAACCAGTTGCAAAAACTGATGAAAATATTACCGGCGACAAGGTGGCGAATGCACAACAGCCAAGCCAACTATTTTACTTATTTGTGCTCAGTTCTTATTTGGAAAAGTTAATTACCTTCTCCATAGGAATATTTCACAGTATCGAATAAAATTCGATGGCACAGCACTCGAAATGCATGACCCTTATTTTCGCAAGCAAATTCTTAGCAGACAATCAGTCCAACTCCGTGGCAGACACTCGTCACCTGAGCTGAAGTGTTTGCTGGATGGGCTTTTTACTACTAGCTAAATGTAAGTAGCTAAATCAGAATATGAAATATGTATCGCTTACCAGCACTTCAGCCGAAAGTGAATCTTCGTCACTAAGATACCCCCTTTGATTTTCTAAATAGCCATAAATCAAGGATGCTTTTGTTATAATATATCCATTACACAGATTACAAGTGAGCTACTCAGGCCGTTAGACGGGTCGCTAAGAGTAGTGCTTCTAGTGCCGTTCTAGGCCGGACAGATCATTGGGGAATGCAGCTACAGGGGAGTTCACCATGCGTAATGCCGCAGTGCACTGACCTACGGAAAGCCGTCTGCGTGAAGCATCAGTGTCAGCACTGATATTGCTGTCTCTTATGATGATAAAGTACATCGTCTCAGTAATGAGAACAAGGAATGTTTTCCCAGAAGCCCGTAGTGCACACCGAACTTTAGTCTCAGTAATGAGAACGAGGAATGTTTTTCCAGAAGCCCGTAGTGCACACCGAACTTTAGAGAGTTAATTTGTAGACTGCAATTTTACGAAGCCATAAAAAATCAATCTTCCACATACATTACATCGGTAACACCCCATAATGTAAACTGGTTACCCTAACTTTACCTCCTGTTGTTGAACATCGCTTCCGTACCGGCGAAATCGGGAATCAGCTTTCACAAATACAATTCTCAAATCGATTGTCCTAGTTTGTGAACAGCGAGTTGTTGGACCGCGTTTATACGAACGCAGCAAGAATGACTACCAGGTTGTCTTTCATGCACATCCCCATTCACAAGCTGAGCTTCTCGAATTTGGGTGAATCTTGAGCAAATACAAGTTCGTGAATACGTGTTTCTCATTGTATGTCATTTTGTGTTCACTACCATGCTGGAAGTTGATGGAGCATATTGGATTGGTGTTCGTTCAACGAACAAATTGACCTGAAATACGCATTGGTCAGGATGAAATGAGAACTGAGAAAGAGATACTGACATTTTCCTCCCGAATCTGAATTGATGCGGAACACCAAGAGCTATTTTGGATCGCTTCTGTCCAGGCTTGCGAAATCTGATAGTATATCAACCCTCGTGCATCTTCCGAGTTGCGCGGCAAGTATGCACCGAAAGAGTGCCACAGCTAAAAGTCACCTTAGAGTTCATGACCATCCAGCGAATTCTATAATACACCAAACATTGAGATCACCCAGATAAGGAAAACATCTTGGTTCGAACTATTGTGGAAGTGACGAAGAATTCGGAACTCTCAGAAAGTAATCTAAGACAGACTAGTACCCTAAAAGCCACCGTGGATGTTGTGCACGTCCCAAGGGCCAGCTAACCACCTGTATAAGATCGTGGACTACCACTTCAACGACCCGGGTTCCAATTCCACATGACTACCATCGAATGAGTTGCGGTACCCCGCTCCAACAATTTTTACACTTATTGTTTCATAAATAAAAAGGCGAACGCAAAATTAATCTATTCCACACTGATTCCTTAAACCTCAGCTCCATATCTGACCACTTGATGGTTGTCAGTGACCGGTGACCAATCTGTACAACCGATGAACCTCTCACATAATGGGTCTATGAGTGGATTGTGATGCTAGATTTGTTCGATTGCAAGCATACTCATCGCAATGATTCAAATGAATTTTTATTCGCCTACCATGCGAGGTTCTTAAGTCTCAAGCTGTAAGAAGTTCGTCAGCCTATGTAGTTGCACAAGGTCCACGGGCATTATTCCTGAAGCACTTCATAATGCATTGCACCTTTTTGTTCCATCACATTAGATATTCGTTTCGAAAACAAAATTGTGGTTGGAAAAATTCAAAGTTACCCACATGAAATGCGGATTCTTCCTCAGTAAGGTGTGTGCGCAGCCCGTGCGTTATCAAATTTTAGATAAAAAGAGTTATTAACAATATTTCTACTCACAAGGACACACGGAAACATGAACTATCCGCAAACAGAGTAGGAACAGTGAACGTCGAAGCATGAAATCAAGGCGGAAAATTTAAAACATGTTGTACGCCCCTATCACACATTTGATTTAATCTATATTGCTGCATGGGCGAGATGGCCCAAGTGGTAAGAGCACGAATTTAATGACCGGAAGGTCCGTGGTTCGAACCCGACCTCTGGCTCTCGAATTCCCCTGTCTAGGCTTGGGCAACCTGGCAGTATCCCAGCCCTCGTGCTTCCTTCGGGTAGCATGGCAGCTAGGCACCGGAAGGGTACTACGGCTAAACGTTTTTTAATATTGCTGCATCAACCACCAACGCGGTCGGTGACAGGCCAAGTGAGAACGGAACAGAAAAGATACTCAAGGAAGCAATCGTAACTTGCCTTTTTCTTCAAATAGTTTTGTGTTTCCCTGAAAATAAGAATACCGAAAAGTTATGCTTGAAAAAGTGAATTCAAGTTAGTAGTGTTCAAGATGTTAGTCACTCGTGTGATACAACTCACACCTGAAATAAATGTCTATACATGGAAGGACGGTTCAAAGTGTACTGCGAAAACTCGAATCTTGGAGGGAAACTGCAAATGATGTGAGCTCCGAATTAGCAACCAAAAGTTGTCGTATCTGAGGTGCGCTTAATTCATAGGGAGGAAACCTTCCATGTGAAGCAGAAGGGATTATGCGAACCACTTACTGGCATATTAGACATTCATGCACGTACACGATAATCAATTGACTTAGTTCCAGATATTAGGCGTGGTAGTTGGCGACGTGTAGTTTGCCTGCAGGGTAACTCAAATGATTCCTCCACCCCATTGCTACATGAAAAAAACTAGGAAAGAAATAGAGATGCCCCATAGTTGTAAGAAAATAAACATAACGGAGGTAGAAAATACAAGTAATTACCTGTATGTTTTCCGCCTGTATTAAGTGGGATTCATATAAGCCTGTATAACACAAGTAGTCCTGGGTTCTGACATTTCCAGGGGACACAATAATAAGTTAGGATACTACCAGTCTTGCGGATTTTATACTAGGTCTAGTCATACCAAGGAAATACACTCCGTACACTAGCTTTCCTAGAAGATGCCATGCATAAACCTATCATAACCACAAACAAACAAGAAAATAGTTTTCTTATTAGATTAGGGGCTTAAACGAAGTTGATAAAAGATACAATGAACGGGTTCTAAAAATTTCCTCGGCACCTTGATAATTCGAACATCCTGAAGCATTTCTACGACGAAATCTGACACAACGCTCATCCGTACTCAACGAATTGCACATACTGGGCCTCCAAGGTAGACAACTGTCAGGTTGATTGAACCAAACAGGCAGTGAATTCCTTTGGGTCTTCCATGACAAAAACTTCGAGGTTTACAATGACCATCCTAATCCTACAAGAGCAGCAGACTGATGCCAGTTCGGAAAAGCCATTCAATTCTGTAATATGCATACCACAAAGAAAACAGTATCATTAACGAAATTCGTTTTTTTCTAAAAAGGAATGCAGTATTCCGGCTAACACCAAGTAATCCGGCCTCACGCATATGAGGCTAAAACAACCACACCTTTTGTGAGAATGGTGTTTTTTCGCACAACCTTTGTTCTAATCACGCTTGAATGAGGAAGGCGTCCGGAAGATTGCCCATGAAAGCGATTTACACACTTCCCGCAGTTGGATAACACTTACAAGGGAGTCGTTCGAACCGATCATTCCAAGTAATTTGTACTCAAACAGCTTTAGTGAGTTGTACGCGAATTCACGCTCTTATTGACAAACGGACGCAGCTATTCGCAGACCCGTCTTAATTAGACGAGCTCTACGGATACAAAGCTGCGTTACAACTGGAAGACAAACTATCCAGGATCAGAAATCCAGCATCAATGCAGTCTTTAATATCCCAAAAAATTGTGAAGACTCGAGACCGGTAGGAATAGTTAGATTTCATCTTGATACGGTCATTCTCCAAGAAAAACTACCGAAAAGAGGCCACTCTCTAACACGCCGTCATTCACGACCTCATGTTGACACAGATATGCCCCCAGAGATAGCACATCTCTTTCGGGTGGTAATATCAACTGGGGGGAAATAGTGTAACCCAATCGCTCCAGTCTAGGCTCAGTAACCCAGAGGCTAACCAGCCCTGGTTCGCACTGTGGGTTGCGGTACAGAAAGCACAACATGGCTAGATATTTCGCACTTGTTCAATTACCCACCATGGATTTTGTAAGCCGAAACAGTTCACAGCTGCTCTTATGTTCATCCATCGTCTGCGCCAACAATACGGTTACGGCTAACAAACACCTGAACGCTCGTTGCTTTAGAATGTTACTGCTGTTTGATGTCTGGTAGCGAGAACTAGGTGTAATTCACGTTAGTAACCAGCTTTACACACACCGTGAGTACAACAGTGTAGATACCAAAGCAACTGCATTTCACCGAGTTGTTGTCAACGTCAGTTGAGCGCCTAGAGAAAACAACGTAAGCTGTATAATTCGGCTGTATACTGCCATCATATGGAACACATGGATAGCACAGGAAAATGACCTATGAGAGACGCAAGAAATTGTTGGTGGTGGGGAGAGGTGAGTACGGATTACAATCAGCAACATTCGGGGTACATTGGGTGAGGTCGAAAGTGTGAAACTACGCTAGATAGAAGGATAAAAGGTTTGTGGGGACACCAAAAATTAAAGGAGCAAATGATTTTTTGCCACGTGAGAAAGTTTTGACAGTCGTACATCAGCCTAACCAACTCAAAACCTAAAGTAATTCCTGATCACATCGCTGACCACAAACATCTACAGCTGAGAACAACAAGATAATGTTTGTATGAAGGATCTACAATTAATCAATAAAAAGACATCAATATGGAAAGATATGACAAACCGGGCAACGGAAACCTACCGATCGAATTTACTGGCCTTTTCTAAATGGGTGCTGTCTGCTTCCAGGCTAACAACGTTTAGGCCGTACTTCAGCGACAAATATCGAGAGAGGTGCCCTTGTCCGGAACCAATGTCGACGACAGTTGCAGATAGAGGTAGACCACACTCTCTTTCTTCCGCTTCCGGTGGACGTGAGTTGGCGACCGCTCCGGCAACCTGACAAATCAGCTTCCCAAAGGTTCAAAAGCGTGTGATGAATGAAACATTGGAGGTATCGTCATCATCATCATTATCAAAACCAGTATGAAAAGTCTGAGAATATTAGAGTCAGCTATTCGTTACTGTCAACACCTCGGGTGATTTCGAGAATACGACCCGAACAGTGATATTAGCAGTGTAACTCCGCTTTGATTTAGCTGACCTGACGAAGTAGTGAACTGCGGCATTACCGGCACGGTATAGAACCAGCCGGCCGAAAGACAAGCAAAATTAAGATAACTAATAAAAGACTCGTTAATGGTGAGATGAACATAACATACGTGATCAAAGTGGACACCAGTCCTCGAAGACTATCCCAAGACGAAAGCCAAAGTTATGAGATACCAAATACCAGTTTAGCTATAAAGATAACTAGCCCACAGTTTCCGGAGCGAGGCGGAATTCGAACACGTATTGCATTTTCCAGGTACGGTTTTCTGGTAGGGTGACATGTAAGCAATGTTGACGTGCCTTGATGCTGAAATCAGCAAGGGGTGAACTTTGCGGTTCTACAATACACATGTATATTCTATTAGTCACATGATTCAGCTTCGCTGTTGAGTAATCGCCCCGGAAACAACCAAGGAAAGTGAAACAAACGAGTTTGCCAAAATTATCACTCTGTATCTCCAGGCCCCAAGACAACACAACCAAATATGATTGCTACCAGAACATAACTTACCGATGAAAGCTTTTGGATTTCATGTTGTTTTTTTGGAGTCACATGTCGTCTGAATTGGGGAGGGAGATCTGATCGTGGAGAGTTTGCATCAGTTCCGTCATATGACAGACCCAACGCCGGATTTCCGGATAAAAGGAGATGTAGGTCAGCTGAATTAGAGAAAAGTACATTGCCATTCTGCCATCGGGTCCATTCTGAGCAGGAAGACAAAGCGTCCACATTCAACTGAACCGAGAGACAAGCAACTCGGTAGGCCAGGAGACTAAGCGGTAAGGGACGTTTGAGTAGCAACACACCTGCAGAATATTTGGAAAAGGGAGACCAAATTAATAGTGGTTCTTAGATGAACATACAATACCAACTAACATCATGTGACACGAACCCAGTTGGGATTGTATGGCTTCCTTCCGTCCAGTAAAGCCAGACAGTAAATAGTACAGTTCGGGTAAGGTTAGGCAGGGCTCACTAACCCATGACTGAGGGAGAAATCTCCATCCACTGTCCGCGTAATACCCCTGAAAGCGTCCAAAGGTTAACAAAAACAGGACAGGGAATTACCGTCACATAAGAATCCAGTAGAAAATGAAAACACTGTATGAGCCCGACAGTTTGGTTTATTAACCGCTGTAAGCTGTTCTCTTGCGTAGTACACATGCCAGATTGACAGACCTGAAAGTGAATAGAGAGTTAACTTGTAGGAAATCCAGTAACTGAGAGGACGACGTTTCGGACGGAACGTCCTAATGAGAGCCTTTAGGCATGAGATACTGACGACCAGCTCCAATCACTCCCGGACACTGCGTGTTCTTAGATTCAGTCACTAAGTGAGTACGGCATAACTGGACGCATTAGAGCCTATTTGGCTCGAAAGGCGTCTCAAGGGACTGATCAAGAGGATGTCGTTCAAAATCAGGCAAAATACTATCTCAGCTACATGCGTAAGCTACATGAGTGGATTTTACGCTATCCGGACACAAAATAACAGGTACACTAGTGTGAATAGTTGCCATTCCTGTAATGTCAGCTTAACTGTAACATAACACGGAATACATCACCAGCTACAGTTTGCGTTCCTTTTTTCGTAAAAAAAGGCAATAGGAAGAATTGATATTACACCGTATCCAAGCTTCACCGAAGAATTGTGTCAATGATGAGAATAAGTCTTTTATTTTTGTCCAGCCATAGAATCATTTCGGTGCCTAGCGGCCAAGCCATGCGAAGGAAGCATGAGGGCCGACATACTTTCAGTCTAGATAGAAACAGTCGAGATGCGGAGGTCGGGTTCGAACCACGGACCTTCCATGTTAACCGCTAAACTATCCCAAGCGATGATTAAAACCATAAATAAAGCTAAATGAATTCAAATGTTAGCTGAACATGAAATACCTAACACGATAAATTTTGCACTTTTCGAATGCTGATCTTTACCTCCAGTTTTTTAGTGGAACAAGGCAAATTTAGACGGTTGCTGCCTGCATCCTGGCTTCATGTCAACCAGGGTGCTGGACTAGGCCTTTAAAGCAGCGCGGGTCCCTCTCTGATGGCATCCAACACAGTCCATCAGATCGGCTAGTTGAGGGAAAGACGGACTGTTAGCTCCTGTTTGTCTGTTTCAACACCAGTAATAACACCTAAAGTTTCTCGATAAATTTCAACGACAGCGAGCCTCGACAAATTAGTGCGCGGTAATCCACCACATTCCTTTACGTCCGAATCACTTTATATCTTGGTTGTACAGTTGTAGTGCTCGATACGTTGACAAAATAGGCGTCTACGTGTTGTTTAGGACAACTGCTCTGCATTCAGTGTCATGAGCACAATGGGTGGTGATAATTAGTCAGACGCGATCGGTGGTCAAATCCACGGCATGAAGGGTGGTTCGAAAGAAGGCGAAATTTAGGTGCAGCTGGTATAGAGATACAACATGCTGAGACATGTGCCCGATGTAATTGAAAAAAGCTGAGTTGACGATACGAAGGGACTCCACGGACAAGTTCAAAGGAGACGGAAGACGGGGTAACGTTATGTCAAACAATATAGAAGCGCTGGGTTCGCCGACTGCAGTTGACGAAATAAAGGTAACTAATCTATGGTTGTGGCTACCTGGCATGTTGGCAGGCACTTACACTAAAGTGTGTCGCTTTCACCGTGGACTTATGATCGATACAAATAAGCTGAGCTGTCACCCAGTATTCCATTTGTTGGTGCGTGAATCCGAGAAAGGATGCAATTGCCACCGCTAATTCTCGGTGCTTAAAATCCGTAGTTGATTATCAGTGAGATCCAGCGCCTGTTCGGCGGAGTTTCTGCTACGACACCAGAACGGGCAGCTTCGAGTGGAACGAATCCAAACAAATTCGGTGGTGTCAGCGAGTTGCTGGACAGATGAATAGCTTGGCACTAGCGAGTCATACGGCTTTATTAAAGGGTCGTGAAAGGGAACGCCATTGAAACCGGGAGCAACTGGCACTTTCCAGGAAGGGCTGGGCTCTCTTTAGGATAGTCGTATCTAAGTCGTGACTGACGGGGAACACTTTTCAGTTCAGATGTTACGATAAACTGATTGTTGCTGGAAGTTGGGCCAACCACCATCTCCATACTACCAAGCAGCGTTCAACTCCGATGGCAAGGAACTTTCATAACCGCATTCTGAATACGTTGCAGAAAACCGACTGATAATGGTGTGAACCACGTTTTCGGGAAGACTGTCAGCCCAAATCTGAGGCCGATGATCCACGGCCAGTTAGTGACTAATCGTTTTCAACAGCCGCCAACATGGTTGTATGGTGTGCTTGTTTTTCATACTAGAGATGGGTGTAGTTAAACAGGAACAGCACACCTTGTCTGAGATTTATAACCATCTCTCAGTTCGGATATACGCAGCACGATTGACCTGGAAAATGGCATAGGTAAACTTCATAGGTATAGTATATTTTACACACTCTCATCGAATCTTCCAGTATCAGTCCGCTGGCCGTACTCATGTAAAACATTTCACAGTATCCTCGCCGTTGTGCTCAGTTCTCCATAGTTCGACAACCGGTTGATTCCATGAATCTATCAAACTTCCAATTTATCCGGGGAACATACGTATCTTAAATCAAAATCACAGATCATTCATGCAAACAATATTGTTATAAGGCTTCTGTATCACCAACAGCTGCCTGAAACGCTAGAAATTTATCCACTTTGCAACTATTGGACTAAATGCTGGTAGTCTTTCTCAATATCACTTGGTACCTGAGACTGTCACTCCTACCACTTGCTGCATGTGCCAGGAGACAGATTTCGCCTGACCAGCTGAAACATAGTCGTCCGTCCTATGGTGTTGACAATGTTTCCCTCTTACGGTAGGTACACAAACATCGGCACGTCATCGCCGTTAAGCGTTTTATAGGATAATGTCACAAGCTCCTCATTGGCAATATCTGCATCAGATTCGGCCGAATAAGATTAGGGAGAGGGAGTTCGATAATACAGAGTGAGTGGGTGAGAAAGCATACAAAGGAAATGCAGTCAAACTGCTGTTGTTTCAGTTTTCTTGAGGTCACAAATCAGAAAACCCTGAAACAACATGGAGAAATGGGCGGGCAAAATACTATTTCTATGAATGACTGAAGCCATTAAGATCTAATCACCTCTGCTGCGCCCAACCCTGTGTTGAATGGAAGTAACCGAGAAGTGAACAGTGTATGACCTGAAAACGGAATATGAAAACATTAGGCAGTAAAATCGGTCGGGTCAACAACTGCCACCTCCCTGGATGTGGACACCGGAGCTCAATTCATCAATGGTTGATGACTTTGGCAGAAATGGCCCAATCGCGCGGTCAGTGGCGCTCGTGCATCAAAGCTATCGTCTTCAATGCGTAGCTGCTCGAACTAACAAAACATGCCATCACCTCCAATGCTCGGCTAGGTGTCCCACAATTTCCCACTTTCCAGTAGAATCTGGAACCAATGTGCCTATGGTATACGGTTTATAGCTGATAAATTGGTTGATCGAACCAATGAATGAAGCACTCGATAGGATTAACAGAACAATTCGAGTGAAGCCAAAGGTGGTCCCTTATGCCGTAAATCAATACCGATGAAAAATTCAGTGCATAGCTAACTTATGTCAAACGTGTTGAAAATTTGAATGTTCCAAGTTGCACTGGAGCGGGGATGGTGGGTGATCGATGTCATTGGCTTTCGTACTATCAGTTTCTTCCCAGATCGCCTGATTGAGCGAGCTAAACCAATGGTTGATGACATTGGCGGAAATGGCCCAATCGCGCGGTCAGTGGCGCTCGTGCATCAAAGCTATCGTCTTCAATGCGTGGCTGCTCGGACTAACAAAACATGCCATCACCTCCAATGCTCGGCTAGGTGTCCCACAATTTCCCACTTTCCAGTAGAATCTGGAACCAATGTGCCTATGGTATACGGTTTATAGCTGATAAATTGGTTGATCGAACCAATGAATGAAGCACTCGATAGGATTAACAGAACAATTCGAGTGAAGCCAAAGGTGGTCCCTTATGCCGTAAATCAATACCGATGAAAAATTCAGTGCATAGCTAACTTATGTCAAACGTGTTGAAAATTTGAATGTTCCAAGTTGCACTGGAGCGGGGATGGTGGGTGATCGATGTCATTGGCTTTCGTACTATCAGTTTCTTCCCAGATCGCCTGATTGAGCGCTTGGAGGTGTAGGCGCCCCAAGATAGGCTAGCATCATGTACCTCCCTCACCCACTCTTTTTTCTTCGTCTCATTTCAAAGCTTTAAGTATAATGGAATAAACTTTGTGGTTGTATGGCAATGAAGGAGAAAGCCGATAAAAAGGAGGAAATTAACAGTGCTTGGTGCCCTACAGTTATGCAAAGAAACATGATATGAAGCTTTTTCAAAGCCTTGTTGGAAAGCGATCAGATTTTTGTTTGGCACCAGGTGCCTCTATAGGCTGACACATCGTATCTTAAAAAAGTTGACACTGGTTTGCATGATATTAAATAAGTGGCACAATAGCCACAAGAACGAAAACCCCTTCCTCCCAATGTTTAGCAAAATGGTGCCTTCAGCGTTTTATGCCAAAATGCTGGACAAATAAAGTAAGGAGCCAATCAGGACACGAAGTTTTAATGAAATGTTTTATAGTGAGCATGCACCAATAAAATGGTCACGCAAACTGCAATATATTTTTTTGTTTCTAGATGACAGTTGCATACAAAAGCTGGATATCCTTTATAACTATCCGCCTGAAGTATTGAAACTATTTCGTGCTCAGGCCCAACAGCGAGACACGGCCTACATTTTTTCTGCCCCTACTACTACGGACGATCTTCTTCACAACTCGTCTGTGCTGTTTTCATTTATTGTCGTTTTTACCGCTTAAGTCCTCCTTGCGAAACGGACGATCGAACCATTAAACTACCCTGCACTTTCAGTTGTTCTCTTTCTCTCCACAACTTATGAGTTAAGTCGTTTTACTGCCCGATTATTTTTTCCGGTGTCTCCCGTATTTTCAATTTCTGTTTCACGAAAGATCTCCCGAGTTAACCGATCGGTTTTACCGGTGATCTAAAATGACGGTGCTAGAAGTGGCCTTCTCGACTGTCAACGTACAGACCACCTGATTGTTTTAATTGCGATCAACACTATACGCTGCAACTGCGTAGTAGCCCCAAACTAGGTTGGGGAACATGGAAAATCAATTAAATACGCAGATATTATTGCTTGTACCTATCGAGTCCTCCTCTTATCTCCCGCAATCTATACCAGGCCAAGTACAAACTAATTGTACTTTGCCTAGTGTTCGGGGAAGCTAAGCGAGGAAACATCGCTACAGCAGGTCAATAGAGAGAACATCAGGCCACAATGATTGATAGCTCATAGCAGATTCGGCCGAGCAGACGATCTCGTCGTTCAACGAAGTGCTTTATGGATGCACCGCATTTTCTTATGAGATATGCCTGTGTTTAATGGAAGAAACAAAGAAAATACCAACCACTTGAGATGCAGCGGAAGATCGACTGAGAAGATAGAAGACTCATGGCATCGATTATGATCGGATCCCTATGGAGATGACATTCAGATGGCTCAGTGGTTAGAGCACAAAGTTACTGACCGGAAGGTCCATGGTTCGAACCCTGCCTCTCGACTTCCCTGTCTAGGATAGGGCAAACTAGCAGTATCCCAGCCCTCATGCTTCCTTCGGGTGGCATAGCAGCTAGGCACCGCAAGTGTTACAGCTGAACAACTTATATTTTTTTGCTGACATTCGGAAGGGATGCTAAAGAAAATTCACACAGTAGTGCACGACAGATCACTTATACGCAACGTAGCCATTCAGCAAGAAGATAAGACATTTGATTCCAAACTAATTTATTGCTGAAACAAGGTGGTGAGTTGTTGTTGCACAGTAGAGAACAATCACCGCGCCACTGTCAAGCACAAGAACCAAGGTCAGCTGTGCATATGAAGTGAACTGTTTACAAAAGAACAAAAATGCCTTTCAAAACATCTGATTCATCAAAGGAGTGCCATCGAACAAAAAGAGAAATTTACAAATTCGAATTACCAGCGTCATCTGGCCAGAAACTGTCATCCAGGAGCGATGAAGAGCTGGATGATCTGAACATTTCTGTTTTTTTAGTGGACAGGATAGCACCTTCTTTACATAGCCGTTTACTCGCAATCATAGGTAAATGATCTGGGGAAAGACTTTCTGTTCCATTTGAAGCTCGCTTGCATGATGGCGTAGCACAAGAGAGAGCACCATCAAAGTCACAGGGACTAGAACTCAATAGATCTGTTTCACCACAAGGCTGACAGTTCAGTTGTGCAGTTCGACGCAATTCAGTTTCCCAAACTTTCTCGGTTACGCGGTAAATGGCCATTGTGGCACGCGCGTCCTCGATGGAGCAATGTTCGCCCTTTTGGATTTCCGTGCCTGAAGATGAACAATACAGAAAGATGACTCAGAATAAACTGAGCAATAAAGTAAGCTTCCAAGGTCTGACCTGCTCTTCGTGACATATCGATGAATAACTCGCAAAGATGGGAACTGCTCTTACAACCTATCTGTAACAGCCAGAGGCAAGAGGGCTCAAGTGGTTAGAGCGCGAATTTACTGACCAGGTCTATGGTTCGAACTCAACCTCTGCCTCTCGAATTCCCCTGTCTAGGTTTGGGCAACCTGGCAGTATCCCAGCCCTCGTTCTTCCTTTGGGTGGCATGATAGCTAGGCACCGGAAGCTGAACGTTTTAACGAAATACACTCATTTGCAAACTAATTTGGTTTTGCGAGAGACTCACCTGGAACCCAGCTGAATCTCTCGCTTGTGATGATGAGCCGCAACAAGGGCGAAATCGGTCGTGGGTTGAAAGTTTTATTTTACGTTAGAGCCAGGGAACTGACGAGGTCCACTCCAACGGTTACCAGTCTCCTCTAAATGGCACACAAATAACCTCATTGCTGACTATCTACACGGAAGACATGAAACTTCTGAGTCCCTTTCGTTCCTATTTTTTTTACTCTTCTCGTTCTCTCCCCTCAATCCTACGAAAAAAGTCTGTGACAGTTGAGCATTAAAGCTCCGATGGCGAGGACGGTGATCAAAATCAATTAGAATTTTCCAGCATTGCAAACGACATATCCGCGGATGTTCGGTATGAGAAGACTGTCGTATCGCGATACTCTACCAATAAAGAACCGTGTTCCTTTAGAAAGAAACAAAATCCATAAGCAAACGTTAATAAATTTGGGGTCATTTCTAATTCCCAAAACCTTTCACAAGCTTCCCCATCCACACTAAACCTGCAATGGATGTTAATTGATAAAAACGAGTCAAACACTTAGAAATATCCTACTGACACAGTAGAACGATTAGACGACTACATTTTTTACAGAGATCAAATGAGGGAGTTGAAGGAAAATGATATCCAGCTATGTACGAGCAACTTTTAGCTGAGCGGCACTCTGGGAACTGCGAAAAAACGGAGATACGCCGAAAGCACTAGGGTGTACGGTGGAGAATGCATGGGATGGATGTGGCCATATGAAAATTGATGGTGAGCTGCACCCACCGATTTGTAGAATGTTTCGCAATTCCTCTGATCCGCACCCAAGGCGAATATTCGAATCTTCAGACTTCATTATAAAACAAGGCGTTGCGATACTTACCGAAGAGACGCAGAGTGAGTGCCCGAAGGCCAACCACTTTATCAGTGGGAAATCCAGCCACCAACTTCGCATAAGCAGCCTTAGCCGTATCACGTATAAGCCAACAAGGGTGTTTCAACTTTAGAACATTGAAATCGTTGTGGACCATGTGACCAACGACGATCCGATCCTGTAAAAGAAGGGTCGCATAGATATCGGATAAGCACACGAAGTCCCTTTACGGAAATGGTAAAAGTAATATCACTTTTGAAGCGATGGTCGAGTTGAACTTTAGGGTTGCGCCCAATCAAACACCAAATTTTCAGTCACAGTATCAAAAGTGATTGGTCAGTAAGGACTATTGAGACACCAGCAAACAAAAAATTGGCACTAGATCATTCATAACGAATCAGAGGTATGTAATGCATTCGCGGTAATTGGGTAGCGAAGTGGAATTAGGAAAAACGGTTTATTAGCAGTGGATGGGACTGTCGTACACCCTGATCATAGAGGCTTACGGTGGTAGAAACGTCTGCAGCTGGTGGTGAAACACTCATCAGTATTTTCGACACTTCAGGTCAAGATCATACTTATTCAATGCATGAACAGCCTTTGCACTCACAAAGATCCACAACAACTGAACCGGTTCGGGAAGGTTCGGTTAGATAAGCACCGTTCCGCCCCTTGATCCGTGCCCAACTCCTTAGAACTTAAGAGGATTCTGAAATATCATTAATTGTTCCCGGACCGTCGCTGGAACCTCCAGTCAATAGCCATCTCCTGAAACAGAGGTTCATACTGTACCGATCGAAAATTCGGCTCCTCTCAGCAATTCTTTGTTTCTGAATTCACTTCTGGAAGCACAACGTGTGGGACAGTAACAAAGAATACAAATGACACTGCCCGTCGAAGAGCAACAAGGAGTAGAGTAACAGAGAGATACTATAAAGGATAGAACAAGTACTCTAAAATGAAATACCACACGGTCAGCCAGTGCAGAAAGACAGTAGCCAAGCCTACTACATATCACTGATTATAATTAGTCGAGGTTTCAAGCGGTTCTGTCTGTCCACCAAGGAGTTTATAGCCAAACGGTTTCACAATTGCAATTTATAGAGTGCCATATGGCTTTATGTACACTATGATAAGTTCCGTAGTCAAACGTGTAGTAGTAGTGGGATACTAGCAAAAGAGAAATGGCAACTCCAAGGCAACTTCAACCACAGGAAAGAACAGCTTTCCGAGTAAGCGAAAATTTGAAACGAGATTAAATAAGTGCAGTCAACACTCAGATATTAGACATAAGGACACCACAAATCTGCACAAAAAGGAACTCATGTACACGAAGTATGAGCCACGGAAATAAGCTTTAATACACACCCGTATTATCCGCTCGACCTGTTCTTGCGCACAAGCGAAAGGGATAGACCGACGCATATCGAATGGCCTGATACCGCTCCACCGAGTCCGAAAGTCGGTAATTTTCTCCTCTGGTCTGACCATTACATCATACAGCACAGCGCCAGTATAACTGACCACACTGACACGTCCGAGAGCATTCCGCGCTTCTGGTCCAACTCCCACCATTTCACAGTCGATTGCCACCGGTGTACGTGCATCAAGCGGTGCCTCATTGCTAACTGGTGATAGGAACAAACCTGTGCAGCGCGGTAAGCATAAGCAAAAATTGAGCATTACCGTGTGTGATATTCTCCGAATGAGTACACTGAGTACATTTGATAGAGAACGGACAAGCGTAGCGCTTAACGATCAATCGTCCCATTGTGACTGCATTACGGCATCAAGTAGCGAACACCTGAAATGTCGAGAAAACGAGGCATAACCTGTCCGTAACTAATCATCTGAAAAATGATAGCTCGACCGAACAACCACAAATCAAGCGAACAGTAAGCTGTGCTCTTCTCTCGTCGTGCTGACCAAAAAAGTCATCTCAATGGAATAATTTTCGGTTGGAACACAGGCCTTTAGATATGCAGTTATGAAGAATTTACCCACAGCCATAAGGGATACAAAGTAGCCACAGGAAAGACGCAAACATCAGTTAACTTGGACTACCACAGAATACGACCAGTGTGCGGTGACTGAATGAAGAGGGGCGAGATGGCTCAGTGGTTAGAACTCGAATTAAATGACCGAAAGGTCCGTGGCTCGAACCCGACCCCTGCATCTCGACGTCCCCTGTCTAGATTTTGGAAACCTGGTTGTATCTCAGCCCTCGTGCTTCCTTATGGTGGCACGGCAGCTAGGCACCGAAAGGGTGTTACAACTGAATGAGTTTTTACGTATCCTGGAAGTTGTATTAGTTGTGATTGTAGTGTGACAGATGAAGTCAACGCATGAATCTGCAAGGCTCGGGTCATGTTCGCTAACTTGAGACATTTATGGCGTGAAAGCGGCGTATCCCTGAATCTCAAGGGACGTGTATATCAGGCTAAATTGTTGGCTGTTTTGTCGTATGGCTGAGGCTTGGCCTGTTCCAGCAGCGGAACTGAGATGTCTTTAGATGCCCGACAATCGTTGTTGTCAGAAAATCCGTAACGAGGCAATTAGAGAGCCAGTTTTTGGTTATGCAACGGGAACTTCAGCCGAAGGTGCCCAAGACCAGAAGCTGCGTTGGTTAGGTCAGGTAATGTGTACATCGAACCATGATTTGCCGAAGGGAATGGTGTTTTCCATGTCCAATTAAGAGTGGCGGAAGCAGAGAGGTGGCCAACCCTTGGCCTGGCGGGTGGGGGTATGGAAGAAATTACTGCGTTTGGGTGCTACTCGCCTTCTAGGATGGGGGCCTTGTGATTCCCACTGGGCTGTGAGATATGGATGCTAATAGATGTCGATGGCGTTATTGTTGTCGGAATACCTGAATGTGTCTGTAGGTGTAGGCGTCTCGGAATGATTGCAGTAAGCTAGCACTATGTCCCTTCGCCATCCACATTCAATCTTTTTCTTATAATAAGGCTTTCGAATAAATCATGGTTGTACTGCAGTGAAGCGTTAATGTTGAACATTGATTTCGTGTTGTCTATGATAATGACTTTCACAGACTTGTGGGGTAACCCTGTTGAGCAAGTTTGGTTGAGAGAGCTGACCGATCGACAGAATCGAACGCAGCCTTGAAGTCAATGAATACTGAGGTTATGGGTCGTTCGTACATATGGCGTTGTCGTGAAACGTGACGGAGTGTGAAGATGTAGTAGACTCAACTTCTATCCGGCCGAACTCCAGCTTGGTGCTAACGGGTCAGGGATTTGCTTGCAGTCAAAGGATGCCGAACATTCAGTGATACCAGAAGTCTCGTTACAACAACTTGACACCTGTGGCTACTACATTCACTGCAAACACCCTTTTTGAAAATGGGCAGCATTAACTACTGACCCCAGTTATCTGGAACGGTTTTTTTCTACTAGATAGACCCGAATAGGAAAGACAAGCGATGACTGGGGAATTCATTGCCATTTTTGAATTGAGCAGGTGAAAGATCGTCATGACGGCGAGCACGATGACACTTGAGCAAACACACACTTGACACTCATGTAGCTGAGGGATGTATCATATTCATAGCGCACATTCCTATTTAGGATCAGTATTCGGACTTCGAGGTACCAGGTGACAAATTCGTTGTTGTTCGTTTCATTAACTGCACTATTTATGGAATCGAGCAGACACCACCGAGTCCAGAATGATGTGTGCATCAGACTACAATGCGAGGTGTTTTTTGGTATGGCAACCGGACTTGTCTGCTATGGATGAACGGTCTGAAGCGCCTTCAGATATTTGACCATTGATGTTCGAGAGCTACGGTTGAAAGTTGATGTCAATAAATTCGTCGTGCGAAAGGCTCTCGTGGTAATCGTTGTCGCAAGGCGTTTCGCAAGTTGTGTCAACTATCATTGAACAAATAAGCTCTGGCGGGTACCTGTATTAGTTGCCTACTTGTTCTGATAGGACTTATCTCTGCGTCAACTGGTCGTCAGGGATCCCACTTGAAATTGTTTTTTGTCAGCAACCCACAGTCAGAAAAGGCTGTTTTCATTCTGTCGTGGAAACCAGACAGGTATTTGTGATAGTTGCAGTATTGCCTATCGTTACATACTCATACGGAGGTTTACAGGCACTCAAAGTCCTATCGTTACGTACTCATACGGAGGTTTACAGGAACTCAAAAAATGACTTGTTTCTACACAAATTTGATGCCCGTAATTGAGGAAATCAAACTGATGTAGACAGCCGCGCGGGTTGGGGGTAACTACCTGTAACACGCAGCCCACCTGTATCGGACATTAGATAGCCACCGTGCGGCGAACTTCCGTCGAATTCGAGGCAGAAAGCCCTCAAATGTGTCAAGTGGTATCAGTTTACAGCCACTTGGGGGTTCAGATCGAGGCATTTCGTGTCATCATTAGCTGTAAGAACCGCGTGCTTGCCGCACAGTGGTTCTATTTGTCACGATTCCGTTCAATGGTGATTCAATTCAATTTATCATCTGTAAACCGTGAGTTGATGAGATGAGATAGGTAGCTGAACATTGGATGTGGTAACGGATATAATTGATGCGTGAATAGTGGGTTATTAGTGAGCTTTTCGTCGGGGAGATTGGGATTCACGGATTGATACACAGGATCGAGGCTTTTGCCCAAGTTTCCGGGGTCGGTTTTGTTCTTGTCGGTCAGTGGCTGTCGTTCATCTGAAAGGCACAAGTGAAAAAAGGGTGTAGCACTGCTCTTTATGTTCTCAGCGCGGGGCAGTATGCTCGCCAGCGCGAGGACTCGCATAAATAAATGCCTAATAGTGCTTTAAATTGGGTTCGAGAAGCAGCGTGTACAACCGTCGGAGGAAGGTCATTCCACGCAGCTACTACCCGAAATGAAAAAAAATTGTCTAATGAATGTGTGCCCTGAGCTTGAAAATTTTCTTACTATGTCCCCGCCGGGGGTTTGCTGGGTCAACGGTAAAAAACCTGTTTGCCAAGTTTTGTTCAAACAGGGCGTAAGTAAGAATTAGGTCCCCTCGGAGGCGACGGTACTCCAGGGGAAACAGATCAAGCTTCGCGCGACGCGTTTCGTAGTCCACGGATTTGAGGCCGGCAACCATTCTCGTGGCGGCCAGCTGGACACGCTCACTGAGGGTGACGTCTTTCGTACGTCCTGAGTAGACAGCTTGGTTGGCGTACTCCAGGAGCAGTCTGACGTAGGCCCCATAGAGTATTTGGAAGTCCATGCGAGTAATACGGGAGAAGGTGCGTCGGATCATCCGTAAAATGGCGAATGCCTTTTGGGCCGATTTCTCATGGTGTAGTGAGAAGGACAAGTTTGAGGAGACCCAGATGCCCAAATCTTTTTGGCATCTATCCTCATGATGTTTTCTGGTCCATTTTCACCATGGGAAGGAAGATATGCATCAAAGAAAAGAGCTTGAATGCAAGAGCACCACTAAGAGCGCGTGCACGTAACTTCGCGGTCACCGAAAAGTGGCACAGACACACTCTCTCTGGCAGACGTGCAGCAGAGTTGACACCTGACACGTGTATCCATCAAATCTCGGAGGAATATAAACCAACGGCTTTGATTTAGTGAAGTTACCCTATGATATGCAACATCGAAAGTAAACATCCAAATACCTACGATCTTGTTAAGAACATATAAAAACAAAATACCGTGGTTGTACGTAACGACCACCGGGCTCTAGAGCAGACCACGGCGAAACCAGCCACGAGTAGAGCTGGGGACCCGCGGGCTAGAACGAGTATTTCAAGGCCATGTCAGGGTCATATAAAAACCAATGAGTTGCAGCTATTCAGTCTTCGCTAGTTTCTCGTGTGTCCCTGGTGCCTTCGAGGTAGTGCAGGACGCGTCTGATGGTTCACTGACAACGGCAAGAATGGTGCTCATTACTCCAACGCCATCGCGCCATAGAATGTTGTCAAGTACGCTTTCATCGTAATTAAATGTCTTGTAGTGTCTGTAATCCGTTGTCACATTTACCATTCTGCCTGAACTTGAACCACACTTTGTAACTGTCGTCCACATTGTATCATGACGTTTGTTTTAATGTTACGAATACACAATTTTCCGGCGCGACCTGCTGACTTCTTGCTGAACGAGCGTATTTACGCTCCGTTGGACTGTTTGTTGACTGCTGGACCAGTGGGATTAAATCTCTGTGTTTGTACCAACTGTTGAACGTCACAATAAATTCCTGTGACATTTTTTAGCCGTGAATAATTTTCCTACCGTGGAATGTATCCCTCACGCGGAACCATCTGCGGGAATTTCGAGGAGTGAATATTTGCCATAGAATTTGTCAAGTATGCTTTCATCGTAATTAAATGTCTTGCTGGCGCACTGAACGCATCGGTGGATGAACATAAAATAACAGGGCATGGGCTAGATTAATTCCCCAGGCAAAAATTTCGTTCCTTCGAGGTATTTGTGTAAAAAATACGAGAATTCATGTAGTGAAGTGGCAGACGTTACGCCTGCCGACATAGTCCATCACCGCGTAAATGTGAACAGAAGTTCGCAGGGGCGCACGCGAAGAATGTCGGGCATATGTTCGTATTGTAATGGTGTGTAGGCTGCTTGTCATTCTGGGACGATATCAGGCGAGATGTTCGTTATGTTCTTATATATACGAATAACAACTCAGTGCATTTGTGCTAAGGTAAGCTTATTTCATCCAGCGGTTACTCATCTCCAGGAAGCGGATGCTCTCCCTCATCCAATCGTATGTCTGCCGTCACTCTTCATGTTGACTCCCGTTTTCACAAAGGCAACCCTCCGATTTGATTGTTTAGCTGGGCTTGGAAACTACTACAACTCCCAATTAGGATTAGTCCTCCAGGAAATTGTTTGCTGAGATGACCCAACGCACTCGCGCGAAATTGGAATGTGCACATATTACTAACGGGATATCACTTCATGCTTTCATCCTGCAGCGAATGCCATTCGTTCGGAGAATTCCTGAAAATATATTCATTTCCTCCAGTGTATTTTTGTACTAAAATTCCGTGTCTTCCAGTCGTTTAAATTTCATTCGTTGAAATTTTGTAGATAAGTCGCTTATGGTTACTTACGCTTTGCATAAGCTCTCCAAATTAATTTGATAGGAGCGGAATTTTCAAAAAAACAATTTGTGCTCGATAAGTATACCGAGCATGAACCAGCGGATCAAAAGGAATCCTCTAGAAGTCTCTCCAAATTCTCTGCTGGGCTGATTTTTTTAAGTAAGCGAATCTTCAAGTGCAACCAACATCTCAAGTTAGAAACGAAGGCCGGTTAGAATAGGTTTCACCACTTTCAAGAAACTGTGGATCACTTCGATTTCGCGAAAATTGCGGAAAGTTATGAACCGAAGTTTTAATACCACTCCTTGGGTAATTTGTATTGTATCTGGTACATAACTTCGGGGCACGGTACGTATTAAAAGCTTGTATGGGGCCACATTTTTGGCCTCAGGGGAAAGCAATTTGTCAGCTATTGGTTAAAAACACAAAACTAGTACCGATGCTTTATGGCACCCGTTTGAGTGAGGAGAACATAATAACTTACTCAATCGTTTACAGCATCAATGTTAATTCGACTCCAATCTGTTCGTTCTTTGCTTGGGCATCAACCACTTCAAGTAATTCTCATATTTCTCGAGGCATAATACTTAGCGGACATCGACTGCAATATATGACGCAATGCGAATCAGTATTTGAGGACATGGTGATGTAAGCGCGGTTCCGTGAGAGTGTTGACGCTAACGTAAAAGAACAATAAAAACTGTCGGTTTCTTAACTAATCAATATTCCGATTGGAAACGCCAATTTCCTACTGAAAATAACGCACTAACTGATCCATACTACTCCTACCAGTAAAAGAAGAACGCTTTCGCTTTGGAGTTATTTATCGGAATTCACCGACTAAACACTTACATACTATTGAATACGAAAGAAAAACTCTCATATACACCTTGTTTATAAAATCTGAGTATCGGCCATATTCCCGAAAGCGCCTTCCTGAACTTTCCTGAATACTCATTGGCTATCACACAAGTGTAAACGAATGCAACGTATCTATTCCGAAAATACCGTAATAAATCCCATTTTTAAATAGAAACAAAGCGAATTTACCAGAAAACCACACACTATTTGCACGCACAACAATAGCATACACCGTCACACCGGGACATTTGTAACCACCAAAATGCCTAATAAAATGTGACATTTCGTCTCGTCCATTTTTGACCGTGTATCTTTTCCACTCCAGATACCCGAATGCGTGTTATTCCTGCGATTCGGTTAGATTTGTCAAGAAGTCCATTGTGATCAACTCAAGCTTTATTTCATCAGTTAATTAGGTATCGCGTTTTTCTGTCCGCATGTTAGTCGTGTGTAAACAACGAATGATTCTTTAGACAATTTCAGCAAATGTATCCTGTAAATTGCTCAAGTGCGCGTTTTTGTAGTTTTTCGTATTCCAACAAAAAACGATTATGCAATTGGTGAAATACTAGTGTTAATAATGGAAGTAAAATAAGGGTACAAAAACGCCACACTACTCCCCCACTACAGCGTTGACCATGAAATGGGAAAACGCTCGAATAACTAAAGTAACGAATCAAAAGTTGCTAACTTAAGTTTCGTAATCAGCTAAGTGCTGAG